TTCTTGTAAACTGAGGCTGTCTGTCTCTCAAATCTATGTTTATGTATGTGTCAACGTCTGCATGCGCAACGCCGCCAGTTTTGTGTCAGGACTCGTCCTGATACTGCCGCATTTTGAGAGCATTTGCATCAATCTCTTTTTCTGTTGCATTTTTTAGCGACTGAAGTATATGCCATTCTTTCTTTTCATATTTGTACCTGTTTCGCATGTCGGCTCGATACCCATTCTGCACATTCGTTACAAGACATTACTGTACAACCAACTTTTCCGGATAGAGACATTACCAAATTTTGAAGCGATTCGCTAGAGGTTGTTTGTCTCATAGCTTGCAATGTTGTTTGTCTCTTTCATTTGAATGACATTCATAAAATCGAATTATTGCTACCATTATATCCATATCATAAACTAGTTCGTAAAAAACCAATCCCTATCAACTCGCGGCCAACTAAAAAGCAATGGTCGATGCCAGACCGTCCAATTCACGCTGATAATTCCTGTGCTGCGAGATTTGGTAGAAGAACTTGCCCACAAAGTCACCCGCGCCCTTGAGAATCTGGACGCTTTCCTTGAAGCTCTCTGGTTTCTGCTTCCCGCCAGCAGTAACAACACCATACCACTCGACGGGCTCCGCGCTCTGCGACGACGCCACCTGGACATCGAGCGTGCCGCCCAGCGTCTCCTTGACGAGTTCCACGGCCTCGCCGGTGGCGCCCAGCGCCTTGAGATGGCCGAAGGTCTCGGAGATCCAGTACTTGATCTGCCCGTTCTGGCGCAGGGTTGCGATGTGCGGGCCGCCGGGGATGAAGGTTGCGTCGAACATGGTCGAGCGCATGCCGTCGTAGTGGTGGTCCGGGACGATGCCCTTGGAGGAATTCTTGTCCTCGCCGTCGGCGTAGATGGCGGAGCGCTTGGTGCCGATGATGAAGGGGAGGGCGCTGGCGGCCTTGATGGCGGTCTTCATGCCGGTGAAGGCGACGGGGTCGTAGCCGTCGCCGATGAGGATAGCGATGCGGCGGCTGGCGATGGTGGGGGTCTTTGGGAAGAACTCGGTCTGGGAGAGGTGCGGGGCGCGGCGACCGTGGTTCTGCTTGAGGGCCTTGGCAGGGATCGGGGCGCCGACCATCTCGGCGACTTTCTGGGCGAGCTCGAGGTCGATTTCGGCGAGGCGATGGCCGGCGAGGCGTTCGTAAACGGTGGGGTCGTCGCAGTGGTCGAGCTCGAAGCTGAAGGCCTTCTTCATGTGGAGCTTCTCGTGCTCGGACATGGAGTTGTAGAAGAGCTGGGCTTGGTTGTGGTGCTCGCGGAATTTGTCGCTGAGAGCGCGGTTCTTGATGCCCTCCACGCGCTGGGGGTAGGTTGTGAACCCGCCGCCCTGGGTGCCGGCCGGGGGAACGGCTTCGAAGCGGTTAGGCCAGTAGTTGACCGTGCCTTGCGTGATTCGGTGGCGCATCTGTCCGTCGCGGTTATGGTTGAGCACAGGGCAAACTGGACGGTTGATTGGCAGTTCTTCCCAATTGATGCCCAGGCGGCTGATCTGGGTGTCGAAGTAGGAGAAGTTTCGACCCTGGAGAAGTGGATCGTCGGTGAAGTCGATGCCAGGGACGATGTGGCTGGTGCAGAATGCGACCTGCTCGGTCTGAGGGAAGAATTCGTCGACATTGCGGTTCAGCTCGAGCTCTCCAATCACACGAAGGGGCACAAGGTCTTCAGGCCAGATCTTAGTAGCATCCAAGATGTCGAACTCAAAGTCATCTTGCTTCTCCTCTGGAATGACTTGGATTGCGAAGTCCCACTTCGGGTACGCCTTGTTGTCGATGGCTTCCATCAGGTCTTTGCGATGGAAATCAGGGTCTTGGCCTCCCAGCTTCAAGGCTTCGTCCCAGACGAGAGAGTGCACACCCAGATGAGGAATCCAGTGGAACTTGACAAAATGTCGCTTTCCCTCTTTATTGACGAGGGCAAAAGTGTTCACACCGAATCCCTGCATCATCCGGAAGGATCGGGGAATGGCGCGGTCGGACATGGCCCACATGAACATGTGGGTGGCTTCCGGGTGCAAGTATACAAAGTCCCAGAAGTTGTTGTGGGCTGTCTGGGCCTGAGGAACCTCGTTGTGTGGCTCTGGCTTGACAGCGTGAACTGGTGGCGAAGTCAGATCTGCACCTACAAAAGAGACAGAAGCAATCGCACGAGAAGCGATACGTACCGAAATCAGGGAACTTGACGGCATCTTGAATGAAGAACACAGGGATGTTATTGCCAACAATGTCCCAGTTGCCTTCATCGGTGTAGAACTTGACAGCGAATCCGCGGACATCGCGGACTGTATCAGCGCTGCCTCTGCTTCCTTGGACAGTTGAAAACCGAACAAAGACGGGCGTGTTCCTTGACGTGTCCGTTAGGACACCGGCATAAGTTAGATCTTCAATACTCTCCTTAAGCTTGAAGTTTCCGAATGCACCAGTGCCACGCGCATGGACTACTCTTTCAGGAATACGTTCATGATCAAAGCGATGGATCTGTGAATATCATTAATACCGTTTTTTATTGAGGATATTTACATGCAATATTTTTACCTTTTCTCTGGCAATCTGATCCTCCAGCAAGGATGGGCCAGTCCGGCGGTCATTCGTAGCTCTAAGCCATTGATCGGTGTTGCTGACCCGCACACCGTGATCAGTGGTCAGTGGCTGCTGGGTTTGAGCATCGGCAGTATCTCTTTCCAAATCGACCAATTTCTTGCTTGTAGAGGATGTGTTTTGAAGCACGTCCTGCGCTTTGTGCAAGCCTCCAGCAATCTTTGTGGCCATGCTGATTCTCGGGATTGATGCTCAAGATAGTTTCAGAGTTAAGTTTAAGCTCTGTGAAGAACCGACAGCGCCGTCCTGACAAGAACATTTTAACCTCCTTCGATGGTGAGTAATAAATGCTCCTTGATTGTGTACAGAGCTGTGACGCACGTAAGTCTGACGTTGGCGGAACGTCACCCTGGCGCTGTCGGCCTCGGCTGGATCCAGCGATCATGAGAGTCATGGAAAAACCGGAATTCGCATGCGGAGGTATCTTCATGACTTTTTGCAATTGAACTATTTCCGCCGAACCTGTTTTTTCTTTAAGCATGGTATTCGTTCATGGAGAGCCAAGCTCTATTGTTGCGGGGCATATGAGTTCATGACTCCGTCCTATAACCAAGGAACTCTACTCCACCCCATGCGGGTAGGCTGATGATCTGCAGCGAGCATTCTCACAGCCAGGAGAGTGTCCAAAGTGTCCAATAAATTCATTTTCATTAATATTATTTCCAAATCGACTGTGTTGCTCTGATATCGGCATTGGCGCCGCCGAAGCATTGTTGTTGGCGGCTGTATATCGTTCCGCAAGTTACGCAGCACCTCTTCAGAAGCAGGGAAGCAAACGAAATTTTTGGCGAATCGACGCTCTTGGCCATCCATTGATCAATCAGAAGCCGTTTGCTTTTGAGATTGCCGATTGACGACTTCAAGGCAGAGGCGCATTTGTGTCAGGACGGCAGTTGAAGGATCCATGAGAAATAGACACTCCGGCATCTGGCGCATAAAGTCTAGACGAAGCGGATAAAGTTTTTGACTTTCTGTAGCTGTCCATTAGTCCTGCTTTTCCCTTTTCGGCCGGGTACTCTTCTTACTCCTGCTCCTTCTTCTCCTTCAAACTCTTTCCCATTGAGATTCATACGAATGCTTTCCTTTCTTCAAACAACGGTCGCATCGATAATCACCCCTCTCGGAAAGTTTCGATAACTGGCCATCGAATGGATTTATCTGTTGCTGGGAAGACGAAGAAGCGGTAGACGCAGTTTAGGATAATCACGGATAGGTCATATCCCGAAGACCCAAGTCCATGAACTATCGGATCGACTATCAGATGGATTCCAACGATTATTGATCCGAGTTGTCTCTGGAGTCAGCACTGTAGATTCGTACGCGGCGGACTATCTATCCAGTATCGGTCGGTTATGTTAATTTTGTGGGTCATTTGCTGGGGCTTCGTTTGGGTTCCGTAGATCGTCTCCGTCCAAATCGAAATATGACAGGTGGGAAACGACATTCATCTTGCGAATGCGGGGACAATAGTCATAGGCCAGCTTTCCATCGAAGGGAGCCACACAGGCAGGAGCATGTTCATGCGGTGAGGAAAAATGGCGTGGCCGAGGAGAAGTATCCTGGCATTGAGGTGCTTGTAGAAAGTTCGACGCAAGGGAGCCATCGGTTTATCGTTGTATAGAGCCAGGGATGAACTTCATTGACAGAAAAGGAATCAGGATCAAAAAGAATGTGTTTGTGATTGGCTGTTGGAGATATCCTCCCCCCTGATTGTTGATGTCCGGCCAATTCAAAGAGAAGAAAGACGCGAAGACCGCGACTCTCTAACACACGACTTTCTGTAGAGTATACACATCCAACGGGATTGCCCGAGACAACAAACCCTGCAGATGCCAACCACCCTCTGCGCTATCAACTGATTGGCCTTTTCATCAGATTACAGATCCTATTGGGCTTGAATCCTTCACAAACGACTTTCAAAATCCGAAGGAAGCGTCCCGCTAGGATCATGCGAGGGATAACAAGCACTGACGCTGCAAACTCCTCCCTTTTGAAACCAGAAAGTATGCGGCCCGTTTACCTCTCTCATCCCCATGGAGGATCGATTTCATCAAGATGACCCGCAGGGCACACGCACCTGGACCATGACCTGCCGATTATTGAAAAATGATGCCTCACCCGGCTCATTGATGGATTCTGATGCGGGTTCTTTCTCTGTTTGATCTTCGTCCAGACTGCATGTGGGTTTCTGTCATTGACATCCGGGTTGCCTCTACCTCTGCCTTTGTCCTCTCTTCATCCTATCTGAAGTTTGATTATGGATTACGGTCATTATACAAGTCCGATTGTGGAACGGTAAGAACATTCTCAGGGTCTGCATTTGCTCCCCGATTAGGATATCCCGCTGAAAACCCATATTTGATGGCTAGAGATGGCACCGCCAGCCGCAGTCCGCTGCAGGCAGAGGCGAAGCGGAACTTTGAGAACCAAATCGTTCTAAGCCCTTCTTCACACAATGCCTCTGCTGCACTTGCAGCGCGGACACGGGTTCTTCGAGCGTCGGACGTCTTACTGTCGTTGGCTGGCAAGACAGAGAATGGTTCGTCAAATTCTGCTCCTGTGTATGATCTGTCGCTTGACAAATCTAACGTATTGCGAATGCGGATATATAGAAACCGTTGAAGATTCTCCAGGCGTTGAAAGTTTTGCAGAAACTGTACGTCTGTTCCCGCCTCTTAGAAATGACGATGGGGCCCCCCATGGTGTTGCGGACCCCAAATGCCCGGATTGCGATGCTGTCTTCTCATCACCGTACGGCACACTGATTTGTCCTGCTTCTTCGATGCATAATCTGACGATACATACAGATGTGAATTGAAACAACACTACTTGACGCGATTCTGTCCTGGGGCAGCGGTGGCAGTCTATTTGATGACGCGAGATCGGTATGCTTGACTTCAGGGTACAGTTGATTCAGGCTGAGTGGTCTTCTATAGTCTTATCACCAAGGGCTACCGTATGGAAAAGCGGTTTTTGCCGCTGAATTCCCGTCCGCTCCGGTTTTTCTGCGAGCATTGCGAGAAGCAATTTACCATGGGTGACAAGGATGAAATAGTCGATCGACAACGTGGTGAGACTGTCACCCGTACTTGCCTATAAACATCCTCTCATATAATCTCGCAGACATGCCGTCATTCATCTGTTGCAAAAACTGCGGGGAGGAGTGTAACATCTCGTCAGTGCCAGTCTGATACTGATCTATTTGTCGTCCAACAAGTCTTACACGACTAATGTAGATATGAGCCTGTTCTGAATGATCCCAGAGACGACATCAGTCTTCGAGATATTCAAAAGGACAGGGCGAATGGAGCGCACAGCAGAAGCCCCAGTATTGCGCAGATGAGCTTTACCGGCTCTAAATTCCATATTGCGACCAATACCGCCGTGGAGCAATCGTTTGCTCAGAGGGCCAGAAAGTTGCGGGATTCCTGGTCGTTCAGAAGTAAGCTCCACAATTCCCTTGATGAGAGGCATGTCTAATTCCCGACAGAAATCTCGCAAAGTGATGAAGATGAGCTCATCGCGATTAGTTTTGCTGGTCTATATGACCTGGAAAGAGGTAGGCCAACAATTTTTCTGACGCGCCGGGTTTAATGTGAGACACAGTGCATGCCCCCAGTGGTATATACCAACAGTTCGGAGGTACTGCCGAATGGCAGCCGACGCAGTCAGACAGGGACTGTCTTTATGAAAGTATGCTCGGCCCTGTCTCTATAAGAACAAAAGTGCATGAGAGTGAATGGCTGATAATCACTGCCAGCGCCGAATGATGTCCATATCATTGGCTCAAAGACCTCGGGCATGGCCCTTTGTGAAGAGGAAAGCGATCACTACAGAAGCGATTATGTTGATTCGCAGGGAAATCTGGTTGAAGATCAAACCCACGCGACACCATCGTCATCTCGAAGGCAATCCTTTCTGCAAAGGATATTTGGTCGTACCATTCCGAAAGGTTTGCTTGATGAATATTATACTGGCCAAAACCCCAGCTGACGGAGAACAGGTCTGTCACGCGCAAAATCTGCCTCTAATCGAGGGAGAAAGTTGCTGAAGAGAGTCAATACCGTGAGGCTCTCTTTCACGCAAAGGGGCTCCAAGAACGGAAGTGATACAAGCTTAGAAACCGAAGGAAGCTCAAGTGCCATGCGAACCACAGCCAAGAGCCAACGCAGAGCAGATGGAATTCGAGCAGCTGTTTCCGAAGCCGAGTATATGACTTTGTTGCGAAATTGCCAGAACATTTTCATTCATATTCAACACCTCTCTGGAGGCGCAATGGTTCATGACGCCTCTGGACGTCAAAGACTGCTCCAAATGGATGAGGTAGCTCAGCTCTTTCTCCAGCTGAAGAATGAGCTCTCCGCCTCGACAGTCTATTCCAAAGCCCTGATAACGCGTATGCGGGCTGATGCAGCCCTCAAGCAGGGCCATTCGAAAGCAGCGGTTGTGGAGTTTCACGATGCGCTGCGGACTCTGGACAGTGCGCCAGCATTGGACACTGAGAGATTGTCTCGCGCGTCCATTTTACATTCGATGGGACATGCATACCGCAGTCTGGACCTGCCCGCAGAATCGGAAGCCTGCTACTTGGAGGCACTGGGGCTCTACAAACGATCCTTCGGCCGCGACCACCCGACGAACTTTGCAATTCTGCACGATCTAGGCGCGCTTTGCGAGAAGGACGGATACGCCACCGAAGCAGCTGCACTATATGAGCGCTCGTTCGCAGGCAGGTTGAAGACCCTGGGACAGCACGCACCGGAAACATTGAGTAGCATGCAGGATCTCGCTTCTCTCAAGGTCTCCTTGGGTGATCTAGAATCTGCACTGCTCTTATTGGAGAGGGCGGTTCCTGCTCTCGACACGGTGTTTGGACTCCAGAACGAAACGACCCTGAACGCAATGAACAAGTTATCTCTTCTGTATCAAAAGCTCGGCCTAGTCAAGGAGTCTCGTATGATATGCAGCAAAACCATCCCGCATTGCAAGACGATATTCGGCGTAGCGAGTGCTATCACGAGGGATGCCGTTGTCCGGTACATTCAAGGCTCTGACAATTTTGACTTTCCCCCAGAAATCATGGACGTACTCGACCGATACCGCAACTCTCGCGACCCCGAGGCCCTTCGGGTTATCCATCGATTGGGTAGATCGTACATGGATGCAGGACTGAACCGAGACGCTGCTGATCTCTTCGAGACCTTGTTCGAGGACCTCCTGGTCGCAAGAGGACCAGAGGCTCCTGAAACGTTCGATGCGCTCAGCGCGCTCTGCGTGTCACGCGAGCACCTCGACTCCGTGGATAAAGCCATCCTCGCCTATCACCAGCTCGTTCAAATGGCAAAGGCCACCCCTGACGACCACCACTCGCGGAAACGGATCGGCTATGCACAGAAGAGAATCGTCGAGCTCAACCGCCGGCGGGAGGTCCTGGCTACTGAGAGAAAAGAGTGGGGATTGCACGAGCCGGGGCAATGTGAGAACTGCGGAACATCCACTAAAATCCTCTGCAATTGTGAGCCTCCTCCCTGACATCTTCCCTGCGACGCATCGCACAAGCTGACGAGCCTTCCAGCATGCAAAATCTTCCGTTTCTGCAGCGAACCATGTCACAAAGCCAGCCTGCAAGGACATCTCCCCTACTGCATCCCCTCCGTGTCCCTCCGGGAGTCCAAATCCCTCGCCGTCAAACCACGCTGCCCTCCCTGGGTCCGAGACCAGGCTCTCTCAAAAATCCGTCCCCTCGACAGGAACAGGACCGTAGACGTACTCTCCAGCTACACTTTCTACTTCGATCCGCGCAACTTCACAACGTTCCGGATGAAGCTCAGTTCTCTCACAAACACAATTATCATCTTTTCCCTAGACTCAGACATCCAGTTCGCAACCATCGACAGCAGCTCGTCATCCGGACGCGGAAACACAAGCTCTTCACCCCCAACAACCTCCAGCACCACTGCCCGAGAAATCCAATGGCTAACCCCCCAACGCCAAGAAGCCCTCTGCTACATCCCCCCAGGGGCCTCCGATACGCCCGCAAAGTACGTCCTCGTCAGCCCCGGAAAGGAAATGTTCAAATCAGCCATCCAGAAGCGAATTAGCGTGCGGGGCTCGAATGGCGAAAAGGAGCATTTTCGGTCTCTGTCATTGCCGGATAGTGAGCTGATCGAGTATGCTCAGGGCCTGCTTCTGACGGGATACCTGGAGGAAGCGTTCATGTACGTCATTGAGTGGGAATGGAAGTGAGGAATATGAATGCACGAACGAGCCTTTTCGTTTCCTTTGTTTCTAGATCTTGCCGAGAATACGGACTTGATAAATACATCGAGATACTTCCGATAGTTAGGCGTGTGGTGTACCTGAGAAGAGCGCGCCAGCGAGCCATCTAGATTGACGTGATTCGTATGGTCCAATGGATTCTCTCAATTAATCTTATCCAGATATCTAGGCCCACCTACACAGACAAGACGTGCCAATGATATGAAAGTTTATATGTCCCTAGATCCAGAAGGAACTATAAATCTATCGATGCCCAATATATACATATGAACAAGCGCTCGCACAACAGATGAGCGAGGAAATCTAACGCGAATAGAATAACAACAGAAAACACCGGACTCGAGGCTTAGAGACACTATACAAGATCATCAATTCGTAATAACCGGATGATACCCGACCTAACATTGTCCGGGACTCAATCAAGGGGTTGAGGGACGCTCATCATCCGATTTATAATTATCGTCGTCGTCGCTTTCCCAATCTTGCGCCTCTAAAGAGCGACCCTTGATGCCGAAACTCAAGACAAACCCGACAAAAGAAACGGCAGCAAAGACACCGAAAGCCAGCAGTTCTCCCTTTGGTTGGATGCGGGAAGCCAGGGAGAAAAGGCCACCAGATAGAAACGGACCGGCCGCTCGACCAGCGGCGGCAAGAGTTTGCGCAAGGCCATTAAGTGCTCCAAGGACTGCGTGATCCGGAGCAGAGTTCGTAATCTGGACCGCAAAGTTAGCGCATTGTCAAAATCTCAGTCAGGAGGAGGATGATCTTACCAGTAAGAGTGCACTAGTCAAACCGCCAACCGAAGCGACCGTCTTAACCAAGAGTACGAAGCACAATTCAATAGCCATGAAAGCAGTCTTTTTGGTCAGCTGACCGTCAGAATCGTCTCCTTTGTATCCGACGAAAGGCATGAGCATGAACGACAGCACGAAGCCGAAGAGGCTTGCCCGATATGACCACCTGTTGCCCATCTTATCTCGCAGTCTGCCGAAGATACAGACTTGGAAGAGTATAGTGGCCAGCCCGGCAAAGCCTTGTGAGAGACCAATCTCGCTCGGAGTAAGACCTCGTCCCGTAGGAGGTGCAGCATTCGAAAAAATAGGGAAAAGCGAGTTGAAAGACACGTTGCCCAGGGCGAAGATGAGATACGTCAGCAAAAGCAAAACAGTGTCCCGATTCCAGATCTCCCTTTTGAGCAGGGACTCATGTGTGACTCCTTGATTACTGGACACTTCCGAGGCGGAGTCGAGTTCGCTATCATGATCTTGCTCAGATGCATGCTGTTGCACAGAATGATATTCGTGCGGAGGGTACGCCTGTCCTGCTCGCTTGGCAAGACTAGTCCACTCCCACAACCAGACAAACACTGCACGAATTCTGCGTTTGAATGTAGGTATGATTTCCGCATCCTCGAGGCTCTCTTCGAGAAATAGGCTCGTCAAAATGAAATCCACCCCAAGAATTCCCGCACACACGAGGTTCGGCCCGGCGTAAGGATACGGATTGGGTTTGCTCTTGTCCAAAGGATTTCGCGGGAACACTAGTAAGCCGCCAATAAGAGGTCCGGTGATCCCTCCGATACCGTAGAGGACAGGGAGATAAGTGAAAGCTTTCGACTGGTTGCTTCTGTCGGTAATCTCTCCCAGGCATGTTGACACCAATCCCTGGTTGCCATTGACAGCGCCCATCAACGCCTGCACCAGGATGGCCTGCCATAACGTCTTACAGAATCCAAACGCTACCATGCAAACTGCAGTGAGGATGGTCCCAAGCAATATGACCGGCTTCCGTCCCACGCGATCAGAAAGCCAACCCCAGAAGTAGTTGGTTATGAACTGCGCCATCGCAAACGCCGAGGCGATCGTTCCGACATAGAAACCCACCGACTGCGGTTCAACTCCGGGAAACGACGCCKCCATATCAGGCAAATAAGGGCTGATCGAATTGAGTGCCGTCTGCTCACAAAGCGCGATCATCGCCAACACCGCCATCTGCTTCTTCGGCAAGGGAGACCGTGATTCATCCTCGCTTCCGGATCTATGTTGTTGCTGATTCAAATCGCCGCCTGAGGATTCGGATTGGCCTGAGTTCGGTCTTCCACGCGATTTTGGAGGAGGAGTGTCGAAGGTTTGATAGTGCTGCGTGTTTGAATGACGCCTATTGAGCGAGGTCTGTTCAGGCTCTCTCATCCTCACGGGGCACGATCTTCGCGTAATTCGAGAATTGATGTATTTTCTGTAACGATTCAAACGAAGCCCGAATGAAGTAGGTAGGTCGACTGCTGATCCAGCTTCTGTGCTGCTCGATGGTCTGCAGGAAGTTCAAAGTGCGGAGAAAAATCTTGTGTCACGCGGCCGGATTCGGAAGGAATAAGGCCTTCCAAGCAACCGCTCATGTACTTCCAAACGGGTGAATTATCAATCTAGAACGAGTCTTTCACTGTACAATAGCAAGGCAACGCACAGAGCAGAAGTAAGCAGATCATGCAATGGCTAATGATTTGAGTGAGCAGTCACGCTCCACAACTTGATATTGAGATGATGATGTAAGCGATCCGAGGATGCACGCTGAGTCATCCATCCCCACGCGAGGTACCAACAATCCCAGGCCCAGAATCATTAATGATTCGAGCTATATCTGTGGTGGTGTCAATGAAGTCATTCCAGGCAAGACAAGATTCAGGAACCAAGGGATGCCATAATCCTCCAATGAAGGTCGAGATAGTAGTAAGCTTTCGAGAGGTGCACTACAGAGTAGTAATCAAGACCATCTCTGAAAAACAAAATGATGTCATACCTCAAGGCAAAGCAATTAGGTAGATTCATCGACCAAAACCTTGTATAGTTCATCCTGCATAAGAGCCACACTACTTATGCTGCAGTAACGATGACTGGCTTAAGCTTATGGTGCAGGAGGCTCTAAATATCTCGTCTTCTGCATGAGGGAGATTGAGCTATGTGGATGTGCACACGACTCACGGCCCAATAATTATTCTTTGATATTTCACTTTAGTGCCCAGAACTCTCCATGAAGGCCTGCTGGCCCAATGGTAAGGCGCTTGACTACGGATCAAGAGATTGCAGGTTCGAATCCTGCGCAGGTCATTCTTTTTTACCTCTTTTTTTCTAGGTTTGTCTCTCTTATTTCTTTCTTCTGATTTTTCCTGTTGGGAGATCGGTGCGCATACAATGGCAGTAAGCTAATTTACAATAATAATTCAGCTGGCGTGACTAGAAGCGAGATGATATGAACCTCTATAATATGGCAAAAGCTGCGCGCTCACTTCATCAACAGATTGACAGCCCAAGGCACACTTAGGCCCCTCAAATCACCATAGTGCTGGCCCACGCCCAGAAAAACAATAGGAATTCCTGTTGCATGCACCATGCTGACGAGAGTACCTACCATGTCGCCAACGGTATCACATTTACTGATGATGAATCCATCGAGGTTTCTCCCAGTGCCGAAGGCTTGGTTGAAGTTGCGAGCCTGCATCACACTGTCCGTGCCGACCAGGGCTTCACCGACCATAAAGATCTTATCCGGTTTGGCGAACTTCGCAAACTTCTCAAGCGAAGACATAAGGCGTTGGTCGTTATGACGGCGGCCGGCAGTATCAATCAAGACAACGTCGAATTGATTCGCCGCACCGTACTCCACCGCATCCTTTGCTACATTCGCTGCATCCTTCCCGTATCCCTTCTCGTAGAGTTCAACTTCTCCAGCATTCTCTCGAGCACTAAGTTCCTTCAGATTGCGAGCATGGACTCGTAACTGTTCCACTGCTCCAGAGCGGAAGGTGTCGCACGCTGCAATCAGAACACGATAGTTATTCTGGAGAAGGAAGTAGCAGATTTTGCCTAGATTTGTCGACTTTCCAACACCATTGACGCCCACAATGGAGATGACATATGGGCGAGGAGCCTGTCCTTTGCTCGTAGGAGATCTAACAGCATCGATCTCGCGCAATAGATCTAGAGATGACGTAGGTGTCAATATTTTGCGCAACGAGGACTCCATTGCGGAGCGCAGCGCTGCATCAACGCTTTGAAAGTTGCCTGTCTTCTTGCCCACTAATTCTCGTTGGACGCCTTCACATAAACGGACTGCCGCTTCGCGCGCAACGTTCTTCTTCAGCAAATGGTCTTCCATAGCTTTCAAGGGTTTCTCCAAGTCAGCCTCAGTAAGGACCTTGCCGCCGACAATATTACGGAAGAATCCTCCAAGTGCGTGGACACCTGACCCAACAAGGCCCGTGGACGAGGAAGCCTTTGCCTTTTCATGGTCGGCATTCTCAAGAATGGAATGGACTTCATCCCCTAGATCTTTCAGGACAAATTGGCCCTTGCCTGTTCGTCGCCCCCAGGATTCCTGCGCGACAGCCTCCACTACTGGAGCCGGTGCGTCCTCGCCATCTGCGGGCGCGGAGTAATCGAGAACCTTGCCATCGTCCTCATCTGCGAAGCCATCAGCATCCCACTTGCGCATCTTTTTTCCACTTTTTGGCGTTTTCCCCTTCCGAATGCTTTCATCTCCGGACGAAGCAGTAGCGCTGGTGTTCGCCGCTTTGCGTGCGCGGCGAGAGGCGCGGCCAGCCGGCCCTCCCTTGGCGGTCAACAGATGACCTGAAATGGGCGTTGATGATCGAGAAAGATCGGGGGTCTGGGGTGGCGAACTCTCGTCCGAGGTCGCCGCGCCCTGCGCAACTGGACGTTGCGCTTTGGAGGTAGTTAGCAACACAATCACGAGCAGAGAAAAGTTATCGACGTAAAATACCTTTCAGCAGACCAGGCACGGGCGGCGGAGGAGGACCGCCATTGTCTGATGATACAAGAGGATCCTTTCTCTCTTTGATCTCTGCAACGAGAGTTTCTGATGTAGGAGCCCCAGCATTGTCCTCAAGCTCTCGCACCTGCTGGTCGAAGTACTTATCGAACGGGTACTCAATAATCCTAGCGCGTGCGCTCCTCAGCTCATCCTTATATAAGTCGATGAATATGGTCGAAATATTATCCAAGAGTTTGTCGATCCAACCAAGATGTAGCAGAGATTGATATACAGCCTATAGAATCGGTCAGCGGCGCCATGAAACCAAAGTGCAACATGAGCATACCACAAAGATCAGATTGAAATCTTTGACTTGCTTCCATTTCAGAGTATACTTTTCCTTCTTGTATATAGGAGCTGCACTGCTCGTTGGCTGATTTTGTGCTCGAACCTTCTCCTCAATGAAGACATCGTTGATTAGACTGTTGACCACATGCGCTCCGACCGGCGCATACGACTTTGACCAAAGCACCACCCCGGAGGTAGTCAAAACTTCGAAAGCTTCTAACATGTCGTAAGCACTTTTTGTGTATATTATTCAGGGTGAGCGGCGTGGGTGCTGGGGACCAGACAGGTGAGTGTAGTGGCCACCATCTAGTCGTAGTGGGGAACCGCGGGCGGAAAAGGTGAGAGCTCTCCGGCGATCAGACGGAGTCCAGCCACGTATAAACACACTTCAACATCACTCACACTCGAACTGTCGGATTGCCCGCAAACCCCCCCTCTTCAGCTGCTAGAAGACAAGGAGACGAGACCGAGTATTTCCGAGTCTTTTGTGCATCACTAGCTTCTCACTTATACCGAAAATCCAACATGTATCGCCAGTCTTTCGCACCACCGCCGGCGCAGTCACCTCCACTCCACCATCCTGTGCCTCAGCATGTGTCTACCGTTCCCATGATGCGCTCGCCTCCTCCCCCAACATCCCAGCAACCCCAGTCGTCTGGGTATGGTAATCCTTATCAGCCCTCTCCTGCGCAGGGCGGCAGCGGAACATATGCGCCTGGTTTTAGTGGGTTCATTAATGATCCCACAGCACAGATGGGATTCCAGGTTGGGAAGACGGCGATGGCTGCTGGCCAGGAGTATATGGAACAGAACGTGAGTTCACTGATGAAGAAGCCTACCATCCCCCAAACCTACGAGCCTCTGCTGAATTTCTATAGTTCAATCGCTATGTCTCCATTCCGGCTCTCAAACATTACTTCAACGTTTCGAATTCCTACGTCCTGAATAAGCTCGCACTCGTGCTCTTCCCCTGGCGACACAAGCCTTGGTCTCGCCAGCAAGCACGTTTAGCAACGTCGTCGGCGGGTCCTACTGGCCAGATTGCCCAGCAACAATACTCATCCATGTTCCTCCCCCCTCGTGACGATCTGAACTCTCCAGATATGTACATCCCTGTGATGGCGCTCGTCACCTATATTCTGCTTTCAGCGGTGCTGGCAGGATTCCGAGGTCAATTCCATCCGGAGCTACTTGGCTCGATAACTACGACGGCTATTGCGGTCATAGTCTTTGAAATACTGTGTCTCAAGTTGGCCATGTACATTCTCAGCATCAACAATGAATCTCAGCTGTTGGACCTCGTGGCATACTCTGGCTACAAGTTCGTTGGCATCATCGCAACTCTGGTTATGTCCGAGATCCTGACGCCAGGAAGAGGAACTGGCGGTTGGGTTGGCTGGGTTGTGTTCGTTTACACATTCCTCGCCAATGCGTTCTTCTTGGTAAGTGAAAAGAACATTGTGACTCCAACCTGCCAGTCAGTTGACAAGTTTCCAGCTCCGCTCGTTGAAGTACGTTCTACTCCCAGACTCAACCAGTGATGCGTCCATGCGCGCCGGTTCGATGCATACAGTTGCCCGTTCGCAGCGCAATCGTCGAACTCAGTTTCTGTTCATCTACTCTTATGTCATCCAATTCATCTTCATGTGGGTGCTGAGTCGCGAGGGCCCAGCTACTGCTGCCTCAGCAGCTGCAAAGGGTGCCGGGTCGCTGTCATGATTCCATTTAATGACAGCGAGGTTGCACATAATAATGACATAGACGGGCTTCATGAAAAGCAAGCAGTCCTCGACCCTAGGTCTTCGCTTGCCGGTGTTCATTGCGACCTGTATGTACTAGTGAGGTTCAATACCATAATGAATTTCTTCGAGTTTCCACAAGCTTCTTACTACCGGGGCATTTGCAGCCTCTAGGAAAATTCTCAGAAACCATTAGATAGAGGTATAGAAATATTACAGCGAGTACAAAGTAACGTGTCGAGAACTGGCTATCGAGGACGAATTGAAAGACCAATATTATTGTTATTCCAATGACTATACAAGGATCCATAGCTGTCCACCATAACCTGTGAATGTCTTATGTTAGACAGATGCGAAGAAGCGAAAATGTACAAGCAACGGTTGGAAGGTCACAAGTCCTCAGAGATCTTGGTGATAATGCAACATATCATGGCCAGAGGCATCATATACTATCTAGGCAGTGCAAAGGTGTAATCATCGGACGGTGACTGGGAAAGGGAAAGATAGTCGAACGTACCAGAAATGTGTGCTGATTGATGAGAATGACAAGTAGACGAGAACCTAAAATGTCTTAGAAACGTCAGCTCGCTGAAAGCAGGAATCGTGACGATAATTAAAGAGGAGCAATCAACAAATATCAGAATATGTAAGAAATGAATATCATGCGGCAGCGCTGCTTAGAGAACCCCGGCGAGGGTTCACAGACACTGCGTCAATCGCAAATTACCGCATCATGTGAAGGGTGATATTGAGAAAATGGAGATAGAAAACATACCAGTAAGATATGAGCTACTGCATGTATGAACCTGGGTAGATCACGTCAGTTGCGGATAGCATGGCCAGAACCTCATTTTGTCCTGAATGAATGAGCCAAATGCCAACTCAAACTCTTCGCAGATGCAAGGAGGAGGTTAAGCAAAATGTTTTGGGAGAAGCTTAAATGTAGTTTTCCCGGAACGGAGAATTGAGTGAAGCCGGTCCAGAGGCGCCAAGGCCCCAGCGAAAAGCAGCCCTAGGCCGCACGCAACCCCGTTCGGCGAGTTGCTACTGGCTGTTAAGCGAGACTCTTGTGGGCGAAGACCGCAACACCCGAAATTCGCGATCCAGTAGCCCAGAGCGACTTGTGTGCGTTTCGGACGACTTTGACAACCCCGACTCTTCGACAACAAATTCCCATCACCGCCCTCCCGGAGTCTGTCGACCGTGAGTTTGAAATCTACGCCCTCTATCGCATTTCTGGACTGTCACTGAACAACCCGTTTTTGTCGTTTTCTAGGAAGCCTTCGCCATGGCCGATATCGATGTCAAGATTGCTCAATGGAAGCTTGTTGAGGTTGGCCGTGTTCTGCTGATCCGCAGCGGTCCTTACACCGGCAAGCTTGCTGCCATTGTCGAGATCATCGACCACAAGCGTGTACGTTTTCAACGGAGGAATTCTGAGCTCAGAACGGAAAGATTATGGTCGGATGCGATATTGACAAAAGTCGCGATGATAGGTCCTGGTTGACGGTCCTTCCACCGAGGAGAACAAGATCGTTCCCCGTCACGCCCTTCCTCTCGCTCACGCCACTCTCACTCCCTTCGTCATTCCCAAACTCCCCCGCGCTGCCGGCACTGGCCCCGTGAAGAAGCTCTGGGAGAAGAACGAGATCGACGGAAAGTGGGCTAAGAGCACCATTGCTCAGAAGACTGAGCGCGCTGAGCGGAGGAAGAACCTGACCGACTTCGAGCGCTTCAAGGTCCTCAGACTCAGAAAGCAGGTACGTGCAGTTTGCGAACCTACGTGTGAATTGTGATGGGACATTGGAGGAAATTTTCGGTCACTCTGCGCTCGCTTATCGCGAGAGGAAAGAGAGCAATTACTTGCAAGATAGTCTGCGATCGGTTGCTGACATCTGGTGATTTAACAGGCTCGCTACGAGGTCCAGAAGGCTCACGCCAAGGTCAGGGCTGCTGCTCCTAAGTCATAGATGTTTTCATGAGGCTCGGTGCATAGTATGAAGGGGTACCTTGGGACGGTTTTACATGGCTGAGGGTTTTATTCTATTTCAGCAAAAAATAAGCTGTATCCACTACAATGACAGCCAAAAAATGATTCAAAACCTTGATATCCTGACACGGGTTATCGTACTATGTCATCAGATTGGCGCACCCGATTAGTACATGGCTCTGGTTTTTAGCCGTCTCCTTAGACATTAATTGGGAATTAAACAATTTAGACTCAATTGCCTAATGGAAAATGTAAGACTGTATCTTCATATATACTATTTGAGTTGAATTGGTTCATTGTGACTTGTATAGCTTGTAAAGGTGGTGCTTGTGTGAGTCCGGGGTGAGGGTCACAATCACCTCGCTAACGATTTTCGGCAGGATGGCATTCACACAGCTTTGCGACCTTCCACTTACAACAAGACACAAAAACCCCCAATCATCCCCAACAGCCCTCTATCTGTGAACTAGGTATGTTTATATTGATTTTACAGGTTCCAAGTTCTTCACTGGCCCCAGTTTCCAATTTCCTGCACTTTTGGTGGAGATTTCAGTGTTTCGTGGGGCATTTTCCGACGTTTACATTTGAACGACCAGACGGCGCTCCAGTTCGAATCGCTAACTGTCAATTCAATAGCCCTTCTAGGCTCGTTTAGACCGCAAAAATGGCTGATCCCCGTGTTGAAGAGCTCCCTGACGAGGAGGTTCCCAAGGCCAACGTTGAGGACGCTGGCAGCGACTCTGAGTCCGAGGCTGGTGAGGAGTCCAGCATCCCCGCTGGCGCCGCCGTCACCATCCACTCCCGTAACGAGAAGAAGGCCAGAAAGGCCATTGGCAAGCTCGGCCTGAAGCACGTTCCCGGCATCACTCGTGTCACCCTCCGCAGACCCAAAAACGTAAGAACACGGCCCATTTGCGCTACAATCAGCCGTCGATATATCTCGGGTTCCTGCAAAGCAGAGCCCAGATGTGAAAGAGCAGGAGCTAATCCGTCCTCTGCAGATTCTCTTCGTCATCAACCAGCCCGATGTCTACCGCTCTCCCTCCAGCAACACCTGGATGTATGTGTCTTACGGATTCTGTCGATGAATGTCTATCATTTAGCTTACACATTTCAACAGCATCTTCGGTGAGGCCAAGATCGAGGACCTGAACTCCCAGGCTCAGGCCTCCGCTGCTCAGCAGCTGGCTGCCGCTGAGGCTGCCGCTGGCGAGCACGCCGGCCACGACCACGACCACGACCACGGCAAGGGCAAGGCCCCCGAGACCGAGGCCAAGAAGGAGGAAGAAGAGGATGATGGTGAGGAGGTCGATGAGACTGGCCTCGAGGCCAAGGACATTGAGCTCGTCATGGCTCAGGCTAATGTGTCGCGCAAGAAGGCCGTCAAGGCCCTGCGCGAGAACGACAACGATATCGTCAACTCGATCATGGCGCTCAGCATATAACCCCCGCCAAGTTGAATCCACGCCGTCAGTGGCTGACGTCTTAGCCCTGCTGGCAGGATGAACTCTGGGTGCGACGTCAGGTTGATATCCCTTTGACGCATGTTCTGTCTCGCCCTTAGTGTAAATCAGTTAGTTCAAAAAAGCAGAATTGACCAGATTTAAATCACACTTTTCTACGGGCCATTCTTGCTCTGAAATATTGTATCTCAACCTTTACAACTGGAAGATATCACATCTAAACTCCCAATAAATAACGATGCGTATCAGTCTAACCGCTCACCCTGCTTGATGGTTTGCGGCTGTTGGTGGATGGGTGCTCGGAACACGGGAACGAAATAATCACGTGACTTTATCCCCATCCAAACCTTGCCGAAACAACCCTCATCTCGGAATGTCCAGGTTTGCACGTTGAAGTCCCCCTCTTTTCCCAATCTTCCACCATTCCACAAATAAAAATGGCTGCTGTATGTTACTTGCGCTTTTTCAATGCGGATATATGTTGAATTGGCAGGATTGTGATCGCTAACCCTCATTTTTACAGCGTAGCGCCGCTCTCAAGATCGACTGGGTCAAGGTGACCAGCTCTCTCGGCCTCCGCGGTCAGACCGCTGCCTCTCTCCAGGCCTTCAAGAAGCGTAACGACGATGCGCGCCGCAAGGTCCAGGTCCTGTCCGAGCAGCCCCAGACCGTCAACTTCGACCACTACCGCAGCATCCTGAAGAACCAGGCTATCGTCAACGAGATTGAGGGTTACGTCAAAAACTTCAAGCCCGCTACATACGATGTCAGCCGTCAGTTGAAGGCTATCGACGCCTTCGAGGCTCAGGCCGTCAAGAGCGCTGAGGAGACCAAGGGCAAGGTCGAGTCCGAGCTCCGCAACCTGGAGAAGACTCTGGAGAACATCGAGACCGCTCGTCCCTTCGATGAGCTCACTGTGGTATGTTTTAGATTACAAGATGGAAGGCTATTGGTTTGAAAGGATATCAATTAACTTTTTCCTAGGATGAGGTCGCTGCTGCTCAGCCTGAGATTGATGAGAAGACTTCTGCCCTCGTCTCCAGGGGCAGATGGATGCCGGCCGGATACAAGGTGGGTTACAATTCCTAGACATTTGCTTTTATTGGAATCGATTTACTGATGATAATTCGTTTGAATAGGAGCGCTTCGGTGACTTGTCCGCTGTTTAAGTTACCAGCATTTGCATCTCATTTCCCGCATCTTTTATCCTACAACCAATGGAATTACACGGCGGAAACCTCTTGTCGTCGAGCCTGTTAACGAATGGCTACCATTCCCGATACCTGGCAGTGTATTTCTTTTGGTCGATGGATCTGTATAGAATCAATGTTGAAATTAGAAGACGGTTTCCCTGCATTTATGCATCCAGCCAATTTCGCCTTTGGCTCGTAGCCATGACTCGTACTTTTCGATGCTTAATACTCCCGTCTTCATGATTTCTCGCATATGTGTGAAACTGATGTAGATCGCGTCCCCTCTCCAAGCCCAGGGCGACCATTATCCTGGAAACTCGCTTGCTCCTGCACCTGTTACACGTAAAACGATTATCCACAATCAAAGATTGCAAGCATTGAGAGAGAAAAACCAAAAACCAGAAACCAACAAAAGGAGGCCCGTCAAATACGAGAGTTCTGGTGATTGGTTATCTGGCACAAGTTTTGGATATATCGAGTGTGTCAAATGCTGGAACCCCAGCGGACTTGGTTCGTTCCGCCTTCAGCCCCTGTTCGTGTATTTGAATTATGCTACTAGCAGGCTCTTAGCGACTCGCGTTGCATGCCTTTTCTGATATTGCAGCTTTGCTTTGACCGAGTCATAGTCAGTAGCATTGATGCTGTCCATTCATTTATTCCAGACAGAGAGCATTGGTCCGACTGGTATTGTTGGTTGTTTCTCTCCATCGATATCTGAGGGAACTGGCGGCTGAGCGCGCCGCTCTCGTCTTGAAGTAATAGTCTTTGAGACATACTTGACAATAAAGATGAATTGAGAGAGACGGTTACTCCTGTGGCTGCGCAGTATTAACCGGCCTCTCCTTGCAGAGCCTGGCTTAATTGAGAGAATACATATGGATTCAACCATATGATGACATGAGTATCAGATTACTTGTCTCCGCTTGATTTCACCACGACCATTCACGCCATGTCAAATCACATCACAAAATCGCATGAGGTCCGTCAGGGACACGACTCCAAGCAGATGAATCAGGAATCGCCTCCAGCGCAGGCTCAGTCTGGGCTGGAATGCCTCCCAGTGGAGCTCCTCCAGAAGATCTTTCTACACAGTCTGGAGTTCAATCTTCCGAGAGCCTCAATTTCCCTCGCTAGGGCTCTATCAAATCCAACCCTCTATACCTGGCTCTTTCGGCTGGCCTTCAGTAGTTCCAATGAGAGCTCAAAGAATGGCTTTTTTACCCCAGACTTCCTCCCTCCGCCACTGGACTTTTTCGCGCTATCTACAGAGGAACGAAGCGATCTCCAAAGCGCAATCCTCGCATGTCGCTGGTGTACGCTAGAGCTCATGCGCAAATGCCAGAGAGAATACATCGAACACGCTGTGAGTCTCAAGTGTCGGGATCTAGTCTTCGCCCCTGAAGACCGCGACATCATAGCCAAGATCGGCGAACACTTCCACGACTTCAGACGCTACGACCAGGGCCACCAAGGCCGTCTCGGAAAAGGCGATCTAGTTTGCAGAGCTCAAGATCCAGAAACCAACGCGGAGTATAGAGTCGCAGTTTGGTTCAACTTTGGCGCCTTCCAGATACGCAAGCCGAATCCGATTCATACCGAGCTCGATCTCTTCCGACTACCCTGTTGTGCGGGCGAAACTCCATCGCGTATGCCGGACAAGTTGCTGTCTCGTCCATGGACAGATACGAAGATTGAGTCCCTTAAATTACTATGTACGGAGGTATACATCGATGACGATGAGGAATTTGAGCGTTCTGGGCGCCTGCTTCGCCAGGTAATCCGGGGCCGCGATTACAGTACTTTCAAGGTACTTGTGGAACTCTTCATTCGGATCCGAATATATAGGTATCCCATCCGCTGGCCTATACATCGGTCTCATTTCAAGGCAGCTTTGAAATATGCGGACTCTATCAACGATCCGTTCCTCAACTTTCTGGTTCGGGAACGTTGGGATGATTTACCTTCGTCTGATATAAAGCTCAAGAACGAACTGATAGCGAAAGTAGGAATAAGGTCTCCGGCATGAGGGATACACTCTACAATTCGATGGTCTTTAGAGACGTCAACAAGGAGAGGAAGTCATGGATTAACCGTTATCATTTAGAAATACATAAGATTCTAAAAACGAGCAACACTGGTGGGGTATGAAGAAAGCAGACGAGAAAACCGCGAACGTGGACACATAACGAGACGAAACTGGAAAGACAAGTCCATGAACACAATGCGTATCATATCCATCATAACTCATCAAGTCCGGTGGGCGCAGTGACTAGATTGTTGATCGTCGATGTCTCCTCATCCTTCCCCGGTTTCCGCAGTAGCCACAAGTGAGGCATGAAATAACGACGTCGCAGAGGGAGACGACACCATTGATGATGGCTTTAAGAACTGCGCCGATGGTATTGACGATGCCCATCAGGCAGGCGCCGATGGAACGGAAGATGTCCTGGATCTATGGAGTGGTCAGTGAAAGATGTGCAAAGACCTGAGAGGGTAGAACATACGCAAGACACGACGGCACCCATATTGATCAGATGCTCTTGTTTACTGTAGGATCTTTGTTTTGATATGGATCACGATTTGTGGTTTAGAGGAGGAAGCGTTGTCTGTGTTTGCCAAAGTACTGGAAGATGCAGTAGTGTGGACAGAGGTATCAGAGAATGGACGCATTGTGTAAGGTTGAAGGGGAGGGATACAGAGACTATATATGGCAGGTACGATGTCACAACAGCGCCAAAGTCTCAGAATGATGTATGAGGTTGGGATATTCCTGGAATTTGACAAGTGAATAGCATGAAAGGGGCAGGTAAGAATAGAATCCTCTAGAGAAAATGTGCTACAGACGTAATTCTATGGCATGGTAACCTCCACAGAGCCAGGACCAAACACTCCTCGATGCCGTCATATCGACGACTGTTCACCTTGGTGCCTTGGTACGATTCGTCTGCATTGGGCAAATTGAGTGTGGATCGAGGAATTCCCTGTCAGGTGGTCCTGGAACGAAATGTGTTTGGATCCAGGAAGAGCTTAACCGTGCTTCGACCATTCATGAGCCTTGACTTAACGATCATGTTTGTTCTTGATAGAGATTCAGGATGCGCAAGTGGCGTTGAGAAACTTGACATGCTGCAAGAGAGAGAGGTACATCCACCATGGTATGACATCATCATTGCTTCTGCTACACTATCTCTCAAGTAGCCTAGCGCTAGGGCTGAATTGGGCGATGTCAGCTGACCTTCAGAGCCCTTCCCTCCTCTTTATGGTAAGCCTCTTCACAGACCTTTCCCTCATTGGCTACGGCTCTTTGGTGATGTTCTGCCATTAACTGTCACTATTCCCAAGTGTCAAAGATATCGTCATTGCGCCCCTGCCGCCCCCAGCCCTACTGGGCTAACCTGTGCTTCAAACCGGGTCGTGTACATTCCTCGGGAATCTACAGGCTCAGGTGTCATGGCGCAAAGACAACCTTAACTCTCGTCGGACGAACTCCACTCATTCCCTTAGCCGGGCATGCTGACCCCAATCAGGGTCCGCGGCCGTAGAAAGAAAGTCCTTGCACAGAACCCTAGCCATGAGCAAGGGGCGAAGGCAATACCGAGTGGCCCCAGGGGCGGCCGGCCCTTAATGTCCCGTGAGGCTCGGCTCGACTCGTCTCAGTCCAAGAGCAACAAGAGAGCTCGCCTGTGGGCCGCCAGGCCGTCGAAGCGTCGCAAGACATTGTCCATACTGGAGACTCTTCCGGTAGAGTTGATCGAGAAGATCTTTTTGTACTCGTTGAATGTCAATCTATCCCGTGCATCGCCTTCGCTAGCGGCGGCGGTGTCGAGTGAGCGCATCTATCGCGTGTTGATACTGCTCGCTTTCTGGAATGATTCCGCCTCAGACGCTGAGGATCCTGATTCTGTTATTTCGAGGATACTGAGACCTTTGGACTATGTACCTCTGCAGGATGACGACCGCGGAAGTCTTCAAACATCCATCCTGCGCTGCCGGTGGTGCACGATGCCCCGGTTGCTCAAGCAATTGTCAGACATGACAAACCTGACTATCCAGAGACATTGGGTCAATGCTGGTATTGAAATGACTGAAGACCAACAAGAATCCTTAGACCGGTTCCTCGCGCGAGAAGACGACACTTCTACATACGGAGGTACCGACAAAGATGGCAATCGCTACACTCTGTCCATCACTCCCTTCGTGTCAGTAAGTATCGCGTGCCAGGAAACCGACGAGCAACAAACCCACAAAATCCTCAGCATGAAACGCTTCCCCGAGAAGCTCCTTCTCGGCGCCAGCGGAGAAGGCTTTAACGACGAACAGGCAACGTACCTCGAAATCATCCGACTCGCCTGCGGGCTCAACCGCTCCGACCACCTCGAGACAGACGTCTCCGTCTCTCGCGAGTCCCTGCATCAAGGCGTCCACATCGCCCTCGTKGAGCACAACACAAGAGCACTCGCAACCCTCCTCAAAATAGACGAGTACGTCTTCCGCAGCAACGCAACTGTCGCCGGCGGGCTGCCATACAGCATTCCACCCGAACACTTCCGCACGGCCGTTCGAGTCGCACGGCATGACCCAGCTCTTTTCCAAACGTTGCTTCGGGCGAGCGCGGAATCTGTCCCAGCGGATGATCCCGAGATTACGGAATGGGCGATGAGTCTCGGTGATTCATTTGGCCATTGGTTGCTGGATTTGATGTTGAGGCTCCCGCAGCAGATAGAGACTGCGAACGCGAATCCGGTAGAGGGTGCGGTGTTTTATCTGGGGAGAGCTAATGGGCAGATTGAGCTGGCGAGACGGTATTTGCGGGATGTCTTGAACGTGGACGAACAGCCGAGTTGGATGGAAGAGGCATCTGTTGACCTGTTCAGTCAATGGAGGGCCATCGAGACTATGACGGCTTAAAAAAAGAGCCAGCATTGACCACAAGCTGCAACTGCTATGTTCTCTGTCAATCACGAGGAGGCTGAATCATAATTTCATTATATTAATTACGAGATCTATACCCTCATTGGTGGGCTTTTGGTAGGTATTTCACCTTAATACAGTAGATAACCCCTTCACATATTCTTCAAGAGCCGCAGGATCCCACTTATCCTGCCGCCCAGCGTCAACTGATACCCGGTCTCAACCACACCTTTGCACAGCTCCCAAGCTCCAGTACCATTCTGCTTATCGTCATCACCGTTGTGAATGGGATAGTCCACTCTCGGGGGTATCCTCGTAGCCATCAACTTAGGGAAGCGATCCACACAAATCGCCTTGATATTACTCACKGCACGGAGACCCTCTTCTCCGGCGAATCGACCGTATCCGGAACCTTTGACGCCGCCAAAAGGCAGCTGCACAGCGTAGTAACTGGCAAAGTCATTGACGGACACCATGCCCGCTTTGATCTGAGATACACACGCAGCGACATCTTTCTGGTTATACCCGAAAACGCTTGCTCCGAGGGCGTACATGGTCGAGTTTGCGATGCTGATAGCGTGGGGCACTGATTCCGCGCGCATGAGGACAAAGACCGGGGCAAAGAGTTCTGTCTGGGCAATTCGCATAGAGGGAGTCACGTCGACAAGGAGAGTGGGCGTGAAGTAATGGCCGTGGGGGTACCTAGGGTGATCGTAGCGTTTGCCGCCGCAGATGAGCCGTGCGCCTTGTCTGACGGCGTCATCGATGAGAGATTCCAATCGATCAAAGGATGCCGGGGAGATCATTGCGCCCATGTCCGGGGTGTGCGGCTTCTGCTGGGCATCATTTGGTTTAGAGTCGAGCAGAACGGAGCCAAGGCGGAGGGCTTGAATGCGAGGGGTGATGGAGTCAAGGAGCTTGTCGTATACGCCTGGGAGGGCGATGACGCGCTCGACACCAATGCAGTTTTGACCGGCGGATTGGAAAACACCGCGCATGAGCACCGAGGCAATAGAGGATACTTCGCTCACGGTCCGGGCGTCGTCCAGGATGACGGCGGGATCCTTCCCGCCCAGCTCCACGGTGACTGGTGTCAATGCCTTGGCTGCGGACTCGCACACTTTGTGGGCGACGGGCCGGGAACCGATGAAGGTCAACTGAGAGATATCCGGGTGAGATGTCAGGGAGCCTGCGACATCGGGAAGGCACACAACACTTTGCACTAGGTCTCGCGAATGGCCGCAGCTTGAAAGAGCGCCTCGGATGATTTCAAGGAAGAACATGGTGCACCATGCAGTCTGCTCGGACGGCTTCACCACAATACCATTTCCGGCGAAGATCGCGCTGATAACAGGGGAGATGAAGTTGTGGAACGGATAGTTCCAGGAGACGCAGGCGGAGACAACGCCCAGAGGCTCGTACGTGACCATGTTCTTCTTGTACATCATCAGGAAATTCGTCGGTCGGGACTCAGCCGTCAGGGCCTTTTCGCCGTGGTCAATGGTCCATTTCAGCTTCTCCGCGGTGACGAGGATCTCCCCGAACGAGGCGTCCACTTTTGTTTTCCCCGAATCCAGGCAACATGCAGCGACGATCTCATCTTGGTGGTCGAGAACATATCTGCGGATTTCGAATCAATCGTTAGCTTCCAGTTCCTCGCTCGAACCTGTATTCAGGGCTGGCAAACGCACTTGAGCAATGTCCGAAGAACCTTCCTCCTATCGGCAAAGCTAGTCTTGGCCCATTCGGCTTGCGCGGTTTTGGCAGCTTGTATCGCTCGATTGACATCGTCCGCGGTGTTCGGCTTGATTCCGGTGCCCAGTACTCGTCCGTCTGCAGGACAGTAACTCATAATCAACCTGTCACTCCATTGCTGTGCAAGTCACAAGGCATTAGCATCGCGCCTTGTGTCTCGTCGATCAATCGTCAATGCGCAGGGGAAGTAAACCTACACCTCGAACCTGACCTTCAAGCACCCTCTTCTCCTCACCCTGCACGTCCTCCCATTTCTTGCCGGTCCAGTTGGCGCGGACCTCAGCCGGTAGTGGGACATTGAAAGACACAGCGGCCTCCTTGCTGCTCAGAATGAAAGCGTAGCCCAGGTAGATAGCAACCACAGAGATCACTGCGACGCCAAGCAGCTGTGCATTGCTCGCCAGGGTGTCAATGAGGGGAGCTAAAGCAGGCGGAACGAGCGAAGCCAGAGAGTCCATCTTGGTAATCAATTGCACCTCAATTGATTCCTAGAACCTCTCCTGGAGGATGTGTCGCTCGTGCCTGGAGGGAACTTTGTTGGAGCAAGGCCAGGAGTGGTCCCATCTTTTTATCAACAATTCCGATACGTTTACCCGATCGAAGCACGGACCACCTGAGGATAAGGAGCAAACAAGCAGAAGGTATCACAATTACTGTAGTCAACGGGCTTCAATTGAATAGGAAATAGAAGTCACAGTTCACTTGTAGATCTAGCTAGTTGAATACATGGTATGAAGCAATATTCATCTCATGTCTCCTGACTGTTTATCACTTACCCCGGAATCAGTAATCGGTAAATATATACCTCTGTAGAGCAACAAATGTATGCTAAGAGAAACGACAATCTCATTCATCACTTTCGTCAGTGTCAGCGCGCGTCTTTCGTCCAGCCCCTTTCTTGCTAACCACAGGCACCTTCTCGTTTCCCTCTTTTCTCTTTCCAGTTCGAGTTACAAGGTGGTCGATCACACACCCATCCTCCCAGCCAGCGGAGGACTGCCCGGTGATTGCTCGGCATCTGGGACAAGTCTTCCCATGGCGAATCAAAAGTGAATGGAGAGAGTATTTCAGATGATCCGGAATGCGAACCTCAAGATGACTGAAGGCAGTGACCTCGGTAGCTTTGCCTGGAGGCACCCAGCCGAGCCACTTGCAGATGCGGAAAATATGAGTATCGACCGCAAAGCATGGGCGTTGCAAGCAGAAAAGAATGACACAGGCAGCTGTTTTGGGACCGATTCCTGGATACTTCACCAGCTCTGTCATGGCTTCTTCCGTGCTGAGAGTATGGAGGTGGTTCAGTGAGAGGAAATTCTGATCAGCGCAGGCTATCTCGTACGCCTTCTCTCCCTCAGACTTTGCAGTGAGGTCCGAGGGCCCGTCTGACTCTCCTTTCACCAGAATGTTCTTGCGCTCTTGGTTCTCCTGGTAAACCATGTCCAGTATTGCCTTGATCTTTTTGCTCTTGACATCTGCTAGACCACCCCTCTTGATCGCCTCGAATACATCCTTCAGCGGTGCTTGACGGACAGCGTCCCAGTTGACACTTCCCTTGCCGATACCTTCCTCAAGGATACCGAACCTCTCTACCAGACCACCGAAAGCCAAAGCGGAATTTCTCCCTGTCGTGGCACCGCTGAGCAGCGTGCGAATGAGCGCGTCTAGTACTGAAGGAACCTCACCACACCCCGTAACCGTGAGAGAAGGCTCCGGGATCTTAGTAGGAGGGATGACTTCTCCATGAACACTAGAGAGGAGCCTATTTACTTCCTCGCACTCTTCAGGCGTAGGCCGAGCCCATTCAGGAAAAGGGGTAGCTCCGGGAGTAAGACCATAGGGATTTTTCTTCTTGCTAATTCTGACTTGTTGTGGTAGTCCATCTGTAGTTTTGTCGACGGTTTTTTGAAGTTCGTCTGCAAGCTTGTCTAAATCCTCTTCTTTGATGCCAGGTTCCTGCTTGTTGAGTTTAGGATCTGCATTTATATTCTCAAGTGGTTGAGAGACGGAGCCAAGATTGTGTGGAAGGTCGTCATTCACATTGAGGCTTGGCAAAGGGCCTTTTGTCTTTCTCTTCTTTGAGGCCTCTGATAGTTTTTCTGGTTGCTCTGTGGATAGTTTTCTCTTCGGACCAACTGTAGACTTTCTAGTCTTCGGTGAGACGACTGCAGCGTTCGTGTCGGCTAGCTGCGGCTTGACATGCGGTGTCTTTGCCGCAAGCAAAGCTGCCTCTCGGGCTGCTGTGGAACGTGTGACACGGCCGGCCATGCTGAGAGTACACAGCTGAATCAAAAAGGACAAGATTGGAAGATGGAATCCATAAAACAAGGATGGAGACAGCGATCTTTATCAGGGGGTGATAGAAGGACAATGGTACATTATACAGAGAACAGTTCGGTGAGCAGGATCTCAGGCAACTTTTTAGCCGAAAGACCACACTTGCAAGTATAATGGCTCTAAGATTCTGTCATCGTGATTCTGGCTTCCCAGAGCCACAATGTGCAACAAAGATGTGGGATGTGTGCCAAGGTTGATGAGTCTCATCAGATTGTTGATTCAATATTCGTCATATCACATGATCCGATCTATGATCGCCGATCTAGTTCTAATCTATATACATACACCATAAGCCTCGTGACATGTGTCAAAAGATTTTCATCATAGATCCATAACTGCAAGAGCTGAAAGGGAATGCCACCCCCTTGTCCAGTCCGAGCTATGCAATGGAAAGCATCAAACAGAGAGCCGCCCTTGATCTTGCTTTTCTCTATCACATACAAACTCCAAGACGCCAAAACACAAATGCACCGTTGGTATAGTAATCCATCAGAAGAGGATCTATGATTATGCGTGATCGGCAATGTTATGGATGCTGATATCCATACGATCCTTGACCTTGGGAGGTTCCTCTTCATGCGTCATGGGTTTACTACACTGATTGAAGCCGACCTCAGGCACTTCGGACTCTCCGGGGTAATTGGCAGGAATGATCTTGCCATGTTGATCGAGCTTAACTCCGTTGGCCGCAATCTGGTAGTCCTCTTCATTGGCGAAACCATGAGTGACGGCCTCTTTGGCACGGTCGACGGCCTTGATCTTGCGTCCTTCGCCGCGAATCTTCTCGAGATGGTCAAAGTAACCGTCATCGATGGGGGTAATGTAGTTGCCGCAGAAGACCCCAACTTCAAAGTTGACAGGTTCGCTCAATCCATTTTCCTTAGTGATCTCGGCACAGGCACCAATCAAGTCGTCCAGTGTCTGGAAGATGACGCTGTCAGCGCCAATGTGTCTTGCGATACTGTCAGCGTCGCGGCCGTGCGCAACGAGCTCGCTAGGCGATGCCAAGTCGATACCGTACACGTGAGCGTGTCTGCAGATGTATCAGTAATTTGTCATCGCCATAGATAAGAATCTGAATCGTGACTTACGTGATCTCAGGCGCGCAACTAGCAAAGTAGACCTTCTTCGCCCCAGCTTCTCTCGCCATGGTGACGATTTCTCTGCTGGTGGTTCCGCGCACGATACTGTCGTCTACCAAAAGGACATTTCGGTCCTTGAACTCAGCTTGCATGGCGTTCAGCTTACGACGCACACCCTTTTGCCGAGTCTTCTGTTCCGGCATGATGAAGGTACGGAAGACATATCTGTTCTTGACGAAGCCCTGGCAGTAAGGCTTGTCCAGATAACGAGCAACAGCTGCAGCCGACGTGGTTGATGTTTCAGGGATGGGGATAACGACGTCGATGTCCTTGACAATCTCAGGTCCGAGAACATCGAGGATCCTCGACGCAAGGCGGTCACCCATGCGCTGACGGCTCCGGTAAACGCTGATACCGTCCATGACGGAGTCGGGACGTGCGAAGTAGACATACTCGAAAATATCGGGAGCATATGCCTTCTTCGGCGCCACCTGACGGAAGACCGGCTCTCCACCCTTCTCGATGATAACGGCTTCACCAGGCTGGATATCACGGAAGTTGCCGAATCCAAGCTGATGCAGGGCAACTGACTCAGAAGCCATCATGTAATCCGTGCCGGGGCCGTCCAGGGATGGTCTGGAACCAAGTACCAGAGGACGGATCCCGTATGAGTCACGGAAACCGAGGATACCGAACCCTGCCATGGTTGTCAATTGATGTCCAGGAAATCACCGTGAGAGTTATGAATATGCTCACCTGCCAGCATCGCCGTGCAAGCCCAGCCGCCCTGGCATCTCTCGTACATCCTGCTAAGGCTTGCAAAGAGATCTTCCTTGTTCACACGCGCCTTCTTGGTCTCGCTGAGCTCATCGGCAAAGATGTTCAGCATCAGCTCACTATCACTATCGGTGTTGATGTGACGGTGGGCCTCGAGATCCAAGTATCTTTTCAACTCGGGAGCATTGATGAGGTTTCCGTTATGAGCCAGGCAAATACCATAGGGGCTGTTCACATAAAAGGGTTGAGCCTCCGCATTCGCGCTGCTTCCAGCGGTCGGATATCTCAGATGTCCAATGCCCATGAAGCCTGGAAGGTCCGCCACTCTCGCACCATCATTGAAAACCTTGGCTGCCATACCGTTGGCCTTCAACTGGTAGATGCGACCACCTGCCGCGCACGTTGCAATACCCGCAGCATCTTGTCCTCGATCTAGTAATTTGCAGATTGAACATTAGTCTCGATCTTCGAAAGGCATTGACTATCGTCCAAATACTCACGTTGTAGAAGGTAGAGCGCTTCGTGAAGATCGACGGCAGCGGACGACTTGGGGTTCGCCAATATTAAACCGATGATACMACACATCTTGCTGACGAGAGGATATTCTAGAAGTATTCATGATATCAGCATTGAGCCTGGAAATTGGACTGAACGGCAAGAAAATCAAGATTAGACAATCAAAGTCAGATCGGATACTCTCCGCAAGGATGCTTAGGAAGTCTAACATCTATAAAAAAAAACCGAAATTCATCATAAAAGGGAAGGAATGTAATGCATCGAAATTAGGAAAACGTCACGAGTGATACTTACATCTAGAGGCAAAATTCTGGCACGCGCGCAGAGAGACCGGGGGTTTCGAGAAAAGGACCGGAAATGTCGGCGAAGACAGGGGGGTGGTTTTTGGAGAACGACTCTCTTATTGAGACATAACAATAGCCACTGGAAAGGTGACTAGAGTCAAAGATGGTAGTCAAAGCAAAGCCCACGAAGGGAATATTGAATGCACAGATATCATGGTGAAGGAAGAGTTAGGAAAGGGGAAAAACTGGGACGAGACGAAGCCCTCATATTTCTTTTAATTCCTCTCTGCTGTGGTTCTGGTTCTTTCCCCACCACTCAGTCAGTGGGAGAGAGAGAATTTTTGCGGGTGCCGCTAAACCAAGGACAAATGACAAATTTCCTGGCCCAAAAGGATACTCTCGGCACCGGTTCGGAGCCTCAGGCATTGCCGAGACCGGCGATGATATAAGCTGTCAATTTGCCCTTCACAAACAGGACAAACATACTTCATTTGTCTATCAGTATCAACACACAGGCACTGATGATGAGTGATATCTCCTTGTATGATGGATACAATCTACTTGATAAGATGTAGCCAAATCGAGTTACTGGTGATCTGTATATGAAGTATGGCTAGCTAACTCTCAGCTCACTCTCTGAGTAGGTTTCGGTGTAAACAGACTGAAGAGCCTCATGGCTGCGGGAATAAGCCTTTCATGGGACTTTAGTACTTACAATGGTGCTCATTGATTCACAGTTCAATGCTTTGCTACCTCTTTGTTAAACATCTCCATGGCTGGATTGGTCCACTTCTTTGCAAAATTTCCTACTTGTGTTACTCTCCTTCATAGTATTCTGATCGTCATGGTCTCATCGTATCTTCCAGTTCTCAGTTCTTTCGCTCCTTATATTCCCTTCCTCTCCCAAGTTTCTCTTTTCCAGCATTTCCTAGTTGATTACATTTCTACGAGACTTTTGACAATTCAGAATAGCTCAAAGGCCTTCCCATCATCCTCCAGTTCTACCTGCTTTAGAGGAGATGAACCGTCATATAAATGATTCGCTCCCTACCCAGGAGCTTCCACAGCCTTCAGAGCCCATATACGTCGAGGACAGTGATGATTCGGGCATCCGTGACACTGACAGCGACACTGACAGCAGTGTGACAGTTGATAATGACCCAGATCGGTCGTTTTTCCTTGATGACGAACAATCTCACCCTGGAGGCAGGCGACGAACCCCAACGCCTTTCCCCATAGGGAGCCAAAATCACCAAGAAATCATAGACCTCACCTCGGGCCCTGAGCTACTGGTCACAGAAGGCGATTATCTTACCGATGAATGCTTTGAGCGTCTTCTGCGAGACTGGGGCCGACCTGGACCCGCGGCGGCAACTCTGCCGATTCAAGAGGCCGCGGAATCGGAAAAGCGCACAATTGACCATGCTTGCGTAGATGGCATAGTTTACAAAGCGGGGCATTCCCTTGAACTTCACAATGGCCTTTATTTCAGAATCACAACTGTGCTTCAAGATAGTGCTGGAGAGGTCTTCTTTCAAGGCCGTCATCTGATCCGAACGAGGAACCACAAGGGAACTTATATACCCAAATGGTCCAATGAACTGGTCTGGATCGTTAACGAGTCAACACAAGTCCCACTGAGCTTCGTCAAGCGGTTCGTCAATATTCGTTTCACAAGCTGCTGCCATGTTGAGCAAGATCTTCAGAAACAAAATCGGCCAAATGATCTGTTCTGTCGATTAAAGGAGAATCTTGATTCGTCTCAGGCAGCAGTAGAGTACCTGTCATTTCAAGAATCTGATGAAGGCTTTGCGATTGATTCGAAGTCATTACGGCAGTCATGGCGAGGTGAAACTCGTCCGTTTGGTAGTGCGGATGCTAATTCCCCAGCACAATCTCCAGTCATAGTGCTGGATGCAGACCCTATCATTGATCTTACCGAAATTGAGAAAGATGACGCCAGAGTGCAGAAAAGACATCGCAAGTATACGTTTGGCGATGGGTTCTGCGGTGCAGGGGGTGTCTCTTGTGGTGCTTCGAAGGCTGGTCTACATATCAAGTGGGCGTTTGATAAGTCCGAGCATGCGATTACCACGTATCGTCTGAACTTTGCAACTGCGGTGTGTGAGCTAGGTGACGTCTTCTGCTTCTTGACAAATGATCCAGAAGTTTTGAAAGTGGATGTCAGCCATGGTTCTCCTCCGTGTCAGACGTTTTCTCCAGCCCATACGATCAGTAGTGTGAATGACGATGCTAATTCAGCGTGCATCTTTTCCTGTGCGGACATGATAAGGAAATCGAGGCCGAGGGTGCACACAATGGAGGAGACCAGCGGACTTTTTGATCGCCACAAGGAAACCTTTCACAGAGTCATTCAAGATTTTATAGAGATCGGCTACTCTGTTCGTTGGAGAGTCCTGAATTGCATGGACTACGGGGTGCCGCAATCACGAAGAAGGCTCATCATTATTGCGTCCGGGTAAGCACCCTGCTTTCCTCTTGCTCAGCTGTCTGTCCTCTCCTGGCTTTCCGATGTGTAGAAGCTGATGCCTTTTCTAGACCAGGTGAATTGTTGCCACCGTTTCCGAAGCCCACACACGGGCTGCCCGGATCGGGCCTTTTCGATTACACCACGATCAACCAGATGATAGCGAACATCCCTCCAGATGCCCCGGATCACGATATCGAAGGTGCCAGGAGCCGAGGACTGCGGAATGGAACGAGGGTCCCCTTCGACGCGAACCAGCAAGCCAAAACCGTGACCTGCGGCGGCGGGGAGAACAACTACCATCCGTCCGGCACACGGGGCTTTACAAACCGCGAATTCGCCTGTCTGCAGACGTTTCCGTTAGACTATCGCTTTGCACGAGAAGTTCGGAAGCAAATCGGAAATGCCGTCCCTCCTGCGCTGTCCAAAGCGATTTACCGAGAGATCATCAAGTCGTTGCAGCGTACAGACGAGCAAGAATTCAGAGCTGGGGATTCGTGACGAGGGCAAAGGCGTTGGTTTCTTCGATTAGCGTTCGTCTCTGTGGTAGACTTGATAAATTTTGATCCTTATTCAGTTCATACCAAGCGACTGTCTGGAGAGCGGCCAAAATGGGGCAGGATCCATATCTATACTGGTGACTGCTGTAGGTTGATCACCAATCGGCTGATCCACATGCTCTGTCCATTATATGGAGTTAAGCTATAGCCGCGGATATGGCAAAGATGCCGTCCGACCGCGGGGAGCTCCAAGAGATGATTATGACCATCACCACCGGCAGAGAAGGATCCTGCCTCGACGCTCGACTCTCGGTCAAACATCGCTTAAGAACATCTGATGTTTAATAGCCCTTGAGTGATAGGGGAAAAATCAAGCTTGTGCCAAAATATGGGATCCGTAGTGTTTTCCAATAAAGCTGAGCAGCACCATAATCATGACGGTTAGATGCTGTTCAGTATGCAACGTAGAATCACCACAGATCTGGAGTTTTCGAATGAATCAGGAATCAATGCGATTTTCCGACACCGGAGGAAAGTCTGGAGAGTTTGATCATTAGTACTCCGTAGATGAAGGACCATCTTCTGGGCATTTTACAGTGTGTACTCGGATAGCCGGGAGTAACCGCAGGACAACAAACAGAAGCGGCCTCGGTCCATCGAGACGTTGGAACTCGCTCAACAATTCTCCCTCGCGGACCCTTTTCTCCTTCTTTTCTCCTCTTCTTTCCTTTCCTCCTTCTCCATTGCTAAGCGACCATCCTTAATTACAACTCTTCTCCTCTCCTCTCCTCTCCTCTGTCTCCTGAGTATTGCATCCTCTTTCTTCCCCTTCTCCTTCCCATCATGTCTGCCTCGTGTTCGGCGCTGAGACGGCTGACCCACAGGTCTCCCCGCACTTTGCCATCCCGCATCGTCGCCGTCTCCAAGCCCTCCTCCCGCATTGTCGCTCTCAACTCCTTCACCAAAGCCGTCAACCCTTGCGCTCCACGAGTTTCACAGTTCTCGACAATGACTAGTCTTCAGCATGGTGCTCCCTCTGCTCCGACAGAGAGGAGCTATGACCCCGAGATCAAGGATATGGCTGATTATGTTCACAACTACAGTGTGAACTCTGATTTGGCGGTATGGGTCCATTGGCTTCTCCCTTGCACACAATTGGTTTTTTTTGCCTCAATTTGAAATTTATCAATTGAGGCGGGAGATTGGTTACTTAATTCGCATCTCTGGAAGGAAGTAACTCATGCATTGATTTGATTTAGTATGACACTGCCCGTCTGGTCTTCCTTGACACCTTGGGTTGCGGATTGGAGGCCTTGAGATTCAAGGAATGCACCAAGCTGCTGKGCCCCGTTGTTGAGGGTACTGTTGTCCCTAACGGTACTCGCGTCCCTGGTACCCCCTACCAACTGGACCCTGTCAATGGTGCCTTCAACATTGGTGCCATGATCCGGTGGCTTGACTACAATGACTGCTGGCTCGCCGCCGAGTGGGGTCACCCCTCCGACAACCTGGGCGGTATTCTCGCTGTCGCTGACTGGATCTCCCGCACCAACCGTGCCGGAGGTAATCTCGGAAATGGCAAGATTGTGAAGGTCAAGGAAGTGCTGGAGGCTATGATCAAGGCCCACGAAATCCAGGGTGTTCTGGCCCTGGAGAATTCGTACAACAGGGTCGGCCTGGACCACGTTGTGCTGGTCAAGGTTGCCACCACTGCTGTGGTTGCCAAGATGCTCGGTCTCAATGAGAAGCAGACCGCTGATGCCATCACCCAGGCTTGGGTGGACGGCCAGAGTCTCCGTACCTACAGACACTCGCCCAACACCATGTCCAGAAAGTCGTGGGCTGCTGGTGATGCTTGCCAGCGTGCTGTCAACCTTGTCCTAAAGGTCCAGAAGGGTGAGGGTGGTGTTCCCACCGTTCTGTCCGCCCCCGTCTGGGGTTTCTACGATGTTCTCTTCAAGGGCAACAAGTTCAAGTTCCAGCGCCCCTACGGCAGCTACGTCATGGAGAACGTTCTCTTCAAGGTTTCCTACCCTGGTAAGTTCGCGGAAATGAGAATTGGATGAATCCGCTATTAACCGTTGGCAGCCGAGTTCCACTCTCAGACCGCCATTGAGTGTGCGCAGATTATCAACAGGAAGCTGGCAGCTATGGGCAAGAGCGCCAAGGACATCAAGGAAATCACCAACCGGACCCATGAGGCTTGCATCCGGATTATCGACAAGCAGTTCAAGGCTATGGACAACTTTGCGGACCGTGACCACTGTGTTCAGGTAGGTTTCCCGCTGGAACACGACCTCGGAAGCTTTGCTAATCTTGATTCAAGTACATGGTTGCCACCATGCTGGCCTTCAACCGCCTGACCGCCGAGGACTACGCTGACGGCTCCGAGGCCGCCACCTCGCCTCTGGTTGAGGACCTGCGCAAGCGCATCCGCTGTGTGGAGGACCCCCAGTTCACCCTTGACTACCACGACCCTGCCAAGCGCACCATCCCCAACGCTCTGACTGTTACCCTGAACGACGGCACCGTTCTCGAGGAGGTCGTTGTCGAGGCTCCCCTGGGACACCGCTTCAGACGTGAGGAGGCCAAGCCCGAGATTCTGTCCAAGTACAAGCGCCACCTGCAGGCCCACTTCGACCAGGCCCGCATTGACGAGCTTCTGCAAGTCGGCTTGGACCGTTCTACTCTGGAGAACTACGACGTTGACAAGTACGTTGATCTTTATGTCAAGGACAAGATGGTCGTTGCTCCTCAATGATTGTGTCAAAATTAGAATTGATTTTAGCATGTTATGTTATTGTACGAAAAGGTTTCCGGTCCTATACGATAGCACGAGAATAGATTTTTTTCCACAGGTAGCATATCGGTCATATCTAGTATACATATCTGAACTGCATATTCCTCAGATCAGTAATATCCACCAACTCCGTGGGCTTCTCAGCATCCTCAACAGGACCAGCAACCCTATCTCTCCTCCGATTCTCCCACCGCAAATACACCCCCAACAGAAGAGCCACCACCACCACAACCACAAAACAAACAATGACCGCCTGAAATCCACTCTGCATCCATCAGCCCAGTTTCCCTCGGTTTTGATGAACAGAGTACACATACCTGATACCTCGGCGCCTCATGCTCAAAAAACAACTGCGGCCCAACGATATTCCCCGCGCAATACATAACGAAATAGATCGCGCTGACAGTTGCCCGCTTACTGAAGCCGCCGATATTCGAGGCAACCATTGCCAGCGACAGGGGCATGCTAACCGAGTAGACGCCCATGAGCAGGAGACCGGCGTACCGGGAGGCCATGGACTCGGTGGCGTAGACGAGGGCGCTGCCTAGGATGCTGTGCGAGTGCCATTGTCAGTGTCACTGTCAGTTTTGGCGTGGGATGGGCTGGGGCTCTACCTGATACAGCCTACTGCGGCGATGACGATGCAGCGGCTGTTTTGGATTTTGGAGGATATGGTGGAGCTATCATCGGTCGATCAGAGGGTAAGATTTGGGGCGAAGGGAAGGGGACTTACCAGACTAAGACGAAGACGAGAATGACAGCGCCGATGGGCATACCCAGCAGCAAGGTCTTGAACGTTGAGAAGCCGAAACCGTAGAGGATGAGGCTTGAGAACTGGGGTGTGTTAGCATCGACGGTGTTCAGGGCTGTGAGGACGGGTCATGCCGTTGTGAATCCGCCGTTGGGAATATTGAATCCCAGGATCATGACGGCCAGCATCCAGGTCTTGGGATCGGTGAAGGCCTCGATAATTTGGGCCGAGTCGATCTTGTTGCGCTTGTATCCGGCTTTGTTGGCCTTGAGACGTTCGATGGCGATGAGCTTCTCTTCTTCTGTGAGGAAGCTGGCTGTATTGGGCGTGTCGGGGAGACGGAAGAACATGAGAATGCCAAAGAGGAAGGTGATGATCCCGAAGATAATGAAGAGCCACTGTATTGTTTGACATTATTCATAAGAATGGAACTGAGACTTGGGGCGAGTGTAGACATACCTTCCACGACTGCAGACTGGTCTTGATTTGCCAGATTCCCACTGCAACCAGGTTCCCTATGATCATTGAGATGGAATTCCCGCAGAACCAGATCCCATGCCGGAGCGGTTGCTCAGACGTTCGATACCACAGCGAAGTAATCAGACTGAATCCGCTGGAGAAACTCGCCTCGGCGCATCCCAGGAAGAAACGGGCCACCATGAGCCCAGCAAAATTGGTCGTGGCGGCATGGCAAGCCAGAACGATAGCCCATAACATGCTGTAACATCGTCAGTGTAACCCCTGGAGGAGTAGGAAGATTGACCAACAAGTTGCAGGCCAGATACTTTCCCAGTGGAAACTTGACCATGAGAATCGAGGCAGGATATGAGAAGAACAGATAGCCAAAGTAGAATATGCTGCCTGACCAACTATACTCGGACCCTCTGAGCTTGAGATCTGTTCGCAGGCCCATGATGGCCGTGTAGCTGAGGGCTTGTTTATCCAGGAAGGCCATCATGTAGGCAAAGGTCATAATAGGTAGGATCCTTGATAGCTGTTAGTAACATGGCAGACTGATTGCCTGATTCCATATCAAACGTACATAATGTCAATCTTTCGGACGAGCTTTCTCTCCGCGGTGGACGGAAAGGCAAAGGAGGACTCCTGAATCTGTTGCAGAGCGCCCTCGTCGCAACTTGCTTGGTCGTCTGCATGTTTGCTGTCTGGTAGTGTCTTCTCACTCGGCATGTTTGCCATCTTGAACTAGTATACTTGCAAGTGCTCCAGGTCCGACTGCACAGTATTCAGAGACAGGCTACCCGCTTGCTTCAGTCTTGCAGTGTCATTCCATTCTGTATGCCAACATCCCTATTTATATCTATCGACATTCCTATCTCTATCTTGTACCCCGCATTTCGAAGATAAAGTTGAGTCCGTGGATATAGAGATAACGACGGTGATAATTGACACTGCCGGAATAGTGTAATTGGCTGCGTCGGCAAAGCTAGCAGGACTTGGCGGCTTTGGCGATCCGTATACGAATACAACTAGTTATAGGAGTTGATTTGAGAGTAATGAGTCAATAGGATTTTGAGAGAGAATAATGACTTGATTGCTTAAGCTATCGAGCTATCTAAGATATGAAGATAACATGAGGCAGCAAGCGAGATGTGTACGACACTAGACCTATTCCGGAGACGTACGCGAGAGTAGGCGCGAGAGAGACATTCACAAGGATAGAAGAGCCGAGGCTAGAAGGCACGGTCGAATCATGTTCCATTTCGCTCGTACGTCAATGTCTAGTCTGTCCTAGAGGTATACTGCCAACATGAGGTCATAACACGATCTACGCATCTCTTTGGAAGTCCTCCTTCACCTGTGCTGCGAACTCATCGTCAACCAACATCTGACAGGCGACTACCGCCATTCCTGCGGCGCAGTCGAGACATCTCTCGTATGATGCTTGTGACCCGGCTCCGGCTGTAAACTGTGGCGTATGATTGACCCCTTCAGCCGGAATGGTGAACATTCCATGGAACCCAGGTACCGCATACGACACGTTTCCTGTATATGAAAGTTAGTCGTCTGGAATGAACAATCTCAGCAAGATCCATACCCATATCTGTAGAGCCTCCCCCGAGAGCGTTTGGCTGCCCGGCATTGTCGTAGAGGGCATGGTGACCCATTGCGCGCATCACAGATACAAAACTCTGGCAGATGGGACGATTCGTCTTCAAATCGGCATATGAAGTTCCCCTGTCATGATCAGCATGAGAATACATTCCACAAGGACTTAAGCACTCACCATTCAAAGTCGACTTTGCAACCTGTAGCAATTGCAGCTGCCTCAAAGCACTTGATCACCTTGCCCGTAAGGACTTTCAGACTCTTAGCTGTGTCTGACCGGATGTAGTAGTCCACCGTTGCAGACATGGGAATCACATTCGGCCGGTCTCCTCCACTGACAATGACCCCGTGAATTTTCTGAGCAGGCCGAATCTGCTGCCGCAAGAGAGAGATGTTCACATATGCAGAAACCACAGCATCAAGAGCATTGATTCCCTCCCACGGAGCGGCTGCCGCATGCGCCGGTTTGCCCGTGAAAGTCACGCGTACCTTATCATTGGCAAGGAAGCCTCCTGGCACCGTTGTAGCTATACATAGCAAATCCGGAGCATTGGGAACCAAAGGCATGGGATGAACCATGAGACACGCGTCGACATCTTTATAGGCCCCATTCTCCAGCAGGCGCACCTTTCCGCCGCCGGACTCTTCGGCGGGGGTACCCAGAAGACGCACGGTATACCCGAGCTCATCGGGGCAGTGAATTTTTATTGCTTCGCAAGTGGCAATGAACGCAGCGATGGAGCTTGTCGCAATGAGGTTGTGCCCACAGGCGTGCCCGATATTGGGTAGTGCGTCGTATTCCGCATTGAATACCACGACGCGACCGCCGGCACCATGTTTGTACTCAATTTCTAGAGCCGTGTTCAGGCCATAAGCCTTTCTACGCACTTCGTAGCCTTCAAAGGCGTCGAATAGCGCGCAGATATGGTCGTGTGCTTTGTATTCCTCATAAGCTAGTTCCGGATCCGACCAGATCTGGAACGCTTAGCGCACGTTATGGTAGTGATGGTGTCAAACTCACTTTGTTGTTGATATCTTTGAGCTGCGCGTCATACTTGCGAATGGCATCGCGAACGCTTCCGATGAATCGTTGTTGAGATACTGAGAGCTGCATTATGCTTGTCTGGTTCTTGGTCATCCTTCTTGATCATTTCGAGACCCTTCGAGCCAATGCTGCTCGGAGGCATTTTATATGCTTGTTCTGCTAAGACATCACTGCAACCTTCGACTTTCATCTCGGCAACGTGTTGACTTGCCGAATGGGGATTGTCATGACTCCAAATGTCATGATTGGCTGAGACAGGGTCGAGTCACGTGAATTAGCCGACGCAGCCAATCAGGAATAGGGACTCGGCATTTCTCCGCTCCTCGCTTCGTTGCCGATTCGGGGTGGTTATGTCAGCCTCAACTTATCTCTCACTCTCCTCATCTGGTCCATTCATACCAGTCGTGATGATACGAGGACCCATCGAATAGTCATACCCCGCCGGCGAACCCCGCTGATGCCCGCGTGTTCGGATCTGAGGGTCGAAATTAATGCCAGTCATCGACTTGTCTAGTGCGAGCTGTTTTGGCTGTTAAATGATTCAATATGTACAAGACTGGCCGAAAAACACGTTCCAAGAATGGTATGATTACTCACTCTTTGGCATGTCAGCAATGATTCATAGAATTCAGGTTGCCGTACGTGTCGAATCCGAAAAGTGAAATGCGATGAGGAGCGGATTGTCGTCGACAATAAGAAGGAACCCCAATGCAGGCGGTGTTCGGTCGCGCGAATCGCCTGCGAATGGAAGGGTGGACCGATTCCTCGTCGGTCAACGACAGTACATAGGAAGAGTCTGGAGGCAAGGATCCATGCTAGCTCGCATGGCTCGATGAGGAGACTGGCTGACTTGCAAACTGCCTTGCTTCCTGCTTGCACCCATGACAGTAGCCTGCAAGCTGCCAATTCGCTTGTCCTCTCGGGTTCCGACCGGTCTCGCTTGAACTATCTTCAAGATTCTCTCCTGGTCACTATACTCGGCAAACATTGGCCGTGGTCCACCATCTCCTACGCCTACCATAGAGTAGCCGTCAAGGAACCTATGGTGATGAGTATGATACTCGCCACGACTGCCAGTGAAATCCATCGATCACGTCTCCATGATTGCTCCAGTACACGTGTGTATCCCCCGGCCAATGATTCGTCCGACATCGATGGCAGGGTACACTATGGTACGGCGTTGTCCAGACTCCGCGAAGCGCTCGCTGAAGGCGTGGAGACCCCGTCGAAGCTCGAGGCGATTTTCATAACATTGTGGCTGATGGTTGATTATGAGAATCGGTTTGGGAGTGGCGCCTCTACAATCAATATCCATTTGCGAGGCATCGAAAGCATACTGTATAATCATATATTACCTCTGCTGAAACTCGAGGAGCGTACAATTACTGCCGGGAGTCCTGAAACGGCGGATTTGTTGCTTCACAATTCCGCGGAGGGTGCGAGCTTGATCGAGAGAGCTGCCAGCAGTCCATTCGATTCGGTAGCTGGTCCATCTGACGGGAAGCTAGTTTATACGGCAGTGCCTCTATTCCTGCTGTGGACCCTCTACTTCTTTACGCCAGGCGTGCTTTTCTTTGGACCTGGCGCTGTATATGAACCAAGGTTTGAGAAAGTCAACGATGATCTCTGCCGTCTCTTCCTTCGCGCAGAAGATGGAAACTCGCCATTGAACCTAGGGAACCTCTATCGCATCAGTAGAGAGTCGCCTTCGAAGTTCTGGAAAGGAGCCTACCCAGCCAAAGCACAACTAGATGATATGGAAAACTATCCCGGCTTAGCCCTTTACCACAGAAGCCATGTGGTTCAATTCAGGATCGCCGAGTTATATCGGCAAGCAAGAAGCACCTCTTGGAACGAAGCATCTTATCAGAAGATTGTTGATGAGATAGTCAAGGTAGCGAATGTAAGACCGTTCAGCCCCGTGATGCTGCTCAGACTGACATGACCATGCTAGGAGTTCGAAATGCTTCTCTCTTCTGCAAAAGCCGCCCCGTCGTGTGATATCGCGGGAGACGGCCGCCGCGTGATGGAGACTATCTATTGGGCAGCCATCACGTATTACAGCACGATTGTATACTTCCACCTATGCTTGGACAGGCAACTCCCAGACAAATCCACACAGACCGGGTTGATGTCGCAAGAAAAGGCCGTCTCCCTTGTCCTGGAGCTATCCCTGAAGCTCCATCGAAGCAGACCGCACCTCATGGTGCGCATCACGTGGCCGCTCTTCATGGCCGGCGTGGCTACCACCGACAGGATTTATCAGGATTGGGTGTCTATCCGGCTACGAGAGTTGGGACGGTATGGGCAGAACTACAGCCGTGTCAGTCGACGCTTTGACGAGATTATTCGTGGATCTGAACTTTTTGGGTATTCTCAGAAGCAACTTCCATATTACAACGCTGGTTGACCCAATGCAAAGATGGCCAATCTGATTGACTCTTTGGATCAACAGAGACTTCGAGAATGTCCGAAAAACAGCAGTAATCTTGGCAAAAAGTGCCAAGGATACGGCTAGTCGTCGACTTGACTGCAATAGTCCTCGCTGCAGGATTCTGCTTACCAGAATAGTCCGGGGCACATGACTTGAAATGCGGAGACACTGATATCTGATCTATTTTTCAGGCCTCTAGTCCATTTAGAGTTGAAACCACATCTCTTCGAATGTCTCAGTGGATTTTGGGGAATTAAGTTGCTTCAGTGCTTCACGAGGAGCCTTCTCGGCGGATGAAGACTCGAGAAACATCCATTTGAGCGACTGCAGAATTTATGACCTTATCCAGTGCCGCCATAGCGTTTTACAACTTACTCAACACCGACCTTCTTCAGTCTGCTTTTCGCCATTAGGCCAAGTCAAAATTGCTGAACTGGATAGTGGATAGTGATTTTACATGACAAGCTAGTGCAAAAGCAAGGTAAGCGCTAATCGCGGTTCCAAGAAAGTCCAGCCAACTTGGAAGAAAGCAACAAACGCAAGCAAAGAGTCGAATGTCATTCCGGGGCGTACGATGCCTGACATACTGGGCACCTGTACGGACGGTATTCCCACCATGACGCAAGACAGGAGTAATGGAACCCATGGCCACAGCGATTGAGAACGAGCAGAGATGCCTTCGCAGGAGGGCCCAGATCAGATGTGCTCTGTGGGTGACGCTCTGGATCCGAGCACCCAAGCGATGATTGCGACGGCGACGAGGGTAGTAGGGTCGAGAGGCAGACGGCACTATGAGAACAAACCCACCATTTCTCATTAGTGACGGCGTGATCACGGATTGACGATGTCTCACTGATGAGAGCAGCCAAGGCCACTAGTGCAGCCCTGTCCCCGCAATGTCTCCAAGGCCAAGAAAAAAAGGAAGAGGCAGGTAGTCTGAGAAGGGGACTTACCATGGTTCTTGCGCGTACCGTCCAAAATCATGGACATTATTGTTGTTGTTATTGCTTCGGCTGCACGCAACGGTATCTCTCCGCTGCTCTTCCAGCCATCTCTCCACGCCCACCTGTCGCATGCAGCCATACTCTCGCAGTGCGGCCAGCTCGCGGGCTCTTCTTGCAGCCTCCTTTTTACGGTGCTGCCACATGATAATGCTATTTTCCAAGTTTGTCAGTTGTGGATCTCTTTATCGTCCGATTCCAGAGTTCTGGGCTCTCGTAACGAAGCGTATAGAAAATTATAGGACATTCCTAGCGAGGGGGAGAAGGGGACAGGTCGAAACTCACATAGGGATCACACTGATGGCGCCGAATAAGACGACTGCTCCCGCGACTACACCTGCGATCTCGCCATCGCTAGCCATAGACACTTACTTCTGAGACGAAGAGTATAGTCAAAATGAGAAACAATGAACCAGACTCCAACAGCACACAGACACGGAATCGGGTAAATCGGCTAGCCTCAACAAGCCAGAATATATTCGCAAGCAGTTCAAAGCGAGCGCCTGTGCACCTTTGACGAAGCCCGTCGCAAAGAAACACACTCACTGGTGTGGGGACTGGCGAGGGGAGGATATCAGACAGCCATTCAGAAAACCGACATCCACATAGAGCGAAAACACTAGGGAAAATAGCACAGGCCGTGTCGGGCGTCGGGCGCCGTCTGGCGAGGGGGAACCAGCTGCATTTAGGGCTGCCACTGGCTCTCAGGCCACCAAGACCATCCAGGCGGGAAATAACCCCAAGGCCGCCAAGGCTCCCGCTCTTGGCACGGTGGTTCCGGATTGCCCCGCGACCGCCTTGCTCAGCCAATCAGATCGGTTACCCCGACAGGATTGGCCACTTATTCGCCGCGAAAATTGGCGGTTTCTTGGTATCACCCGGCCGAAGGCGCTCACATGGGTGGGATGTCGGCCGTGTCTGATGTCGTGTGCGTCATCGGGCCGGGAGGCGGCAAACGCTCGCGCACCGACCCAAGGAATTCGGCCAAGATTCTGGGTCGAGTGCCTCTTATGTATGCGATGGGTTGGAGATCTGATTGGTGTGTAGTCTAAACGAGTACGGATTGATAAGGGTGCCAAGATCKGAACCACAGTTCGCGTCATAAGGGGGTTCGGGGATGCCGGTGGTGAGTGAGATGGAGCGACTTTATAAACATCGCGATACCCCCGCAAGGGAGGAGAAAGAAAATCCGGTTCTGCAATCTGGGCTTTAGTTCCAAAGTTGATTTCACGTCGTTGTGTATGGACTCTCACTCGCTTGAAGATACGATATACATGAAGCCTCCTTAAGATAACTTCACTGGAATAGAACTTTCGTTATATAACATGGGTACTCGGAAGAAGCAAACCTCTGACAACTCTCAGGCTTTGTCTCAGCCTGCTCATGCTTTACGCTATGAGGATGTCCTTCGTGAGCTGGCCGTCAATTCAGACGAGGGTCTGACATTGGAGGAGGCGAAGCGAAGACTCCAACAGTATGGTCCGAACGAGCTGGAAGGGGGAGAGGGTGTGTCAATCGTCAAGATTGTCATTAGGCAGATTGCCAATGCCATGATTCTGGTTAGTCTCTCCATTGTTCGACAGATCACAACAGACAACTGATGACAACAGGTTCTTATCATCGCCATGGCGGTCAGTTTCGGCATTCAATCCTGGATCGAAGGTGGTGTCATTGGAGCTGTCATTGCTCTAAACATCGTGGTAGGCGTCTATCAAGACTATGCCGCAGAGAAGACAATGGACTCCCTTCGATCGTTGAGTTCTCCCACCGGAACCGTCACGCGTGATGGCAAAACCAATACCATTCCTGCCAACGAGATCGTCCCTGGGGACATGGTTGAACTCAAGGTAGGAGACACGGTCCCTGCAGATCTTCGGTGCGTATGAGACTACCAGACAGAAACCGTTCTGTTCGCTAACTGTTGATAGGCTCGTTGATGCTATGAATTTCGAAACCGACGAGGCCCTCCTTACTGGCGAATCGCTGCCAGTGCAGAAAGAGGTCGATACAACCTTTGACCCGGACACGGGGCCTGGCGATCGCTTGAACATCGCGTATAGTTCCTCCACGGTGACGAGAGGCCGCGCTCGGGGCGTTGTCATCGGCACCGGAATGCAAACAGAGATTGGAGCCATCGCCGCTGCTCTTCGCGCCAGCGACTCCAGGAAGCGGCCCGTCAAGCGCGGTCCCGAGGGAGAAACCAAGAAACGATGGTATGTGCAGGCATGGACCCTGACCTGCACAGATGCCGTGGGACGATTTCTTGGAATCAATGTTGGCACGCCGCTGCAACGCAAACTCTCCAAACTGGCTTTGGCCCTTTTCGTCATTGCCGTCATCTTCGCCATTATTGTCATGGGCGCCAATGGGTTCCGCAATGACAAGGAGGTCATCATCTACGCAGTCGCGACGGGTCTTGCGATGATTCCTGCCTGCCTGGTGGTGGTCCTGACCATCACCATGGCGGTTGGCACCAAGCAAATGGTTCAAAGACATGTCATTGTCCGGAAGCTTGATTCCCTCGAAGCCCTGGGCGCTGTGACTAACATTTGCTCAGACAAAACGGGAACCCTCACCCAGGGGCGCATGGTCGCCAAACGGGCTTGGATTCCCTCTGTTGGCACCTACTCAGTCGKGTCTTCCAACAGCCCCTTGAATCCAGAAGAGGGTGACCTGAGCCTGCTGCCTGACCCGCCGGCCAAAGTTGGTCCTGACGCTCAAGGAGAGCCATCCAGGCCGGACGATCTGCTCAAGGACAATCCTCTTCTGGAGCAGTATTTGAACGTGGCAGCGATGGCAAACCTGGCCCATGTGCACAAGTCAGAACACGACGAATGGCAGGCTCGTGGTGAACCGACCGATATTGCAATTCAGGTATTTGCCTCTCGCTTCAATTGGGGACGCGATCGCTGGACCAAAGGCGAGAAGCCTGTTTGGCGCCAAAAAGCCGAATATCCGTTCGATTCCACCGTGAAGAAGATGTCCGTCATCTTCAAGAACAGCAACGATGACCAGGAGATGATCTTCACCAAGGGCGCGGTGGAACGGGTCCTCGAGACTTGCACCACCGTCACCTGGACATCTGGTTCCGACCCGATCGCCTTGGATGAGAACATCAAGGAGGAAATCTTACAGAACATGGAAGCTCTCGCAAAGGAGGGCTTGCGCGTTCTTTGCCTCGCCTGCCGGGAGAATCACCACCCCGTCAAAGGTGAAGATGTCCCTGCTCGTGAGGAAGTGGAGAAAGACCTCACTTTCTGTGGACTCATCGGCCTGTATGACCCTCCCCGGCCTGAGACTGCCGGCGCTATTGAAGAGTGCTATCGCGCTGGGATCTCGGTCCACATGGTCACGGGTGATCACCCTGGTACTGCGCGAGCCATTGCTGCGCAGGTTGGCATCATTCCAGCGAACATGGACAGCCTTGCAAAAGATGTTGCGGATGCCATGGTGATGACTGCCAGTCAGTTCGACAAATTGACAGATGAGGAAATCGATGAGTTGCCTACTCTTCCCGCGGTGATTGCTCGCTGCGCTCCCAATACAAAGGTTCGGATGATTGATGCCCTCCATCGTCGGGGTCGGTTTGCGGCAATGACCGGTGATGGAGTCAATGACTCTCCATCCTTGAAGCGGGCAGATGTTGGAATTGCCATGGGACAATCAGGGTCTGATGTGGCCAAGGACGCCTCGGAACTGGTGTTGACTGATGATAACTTTGCTTCAATTATCAACGGAATCGAGGAAGGTCGTCGTATTTTTGATAATATTCAGAAATTCGTCTTGCATCTTTTGGCGGAAAACGTCGGTCTTGCCCTCACTCTCCTGATCGGTCTCTGTTTCAAAGATGACAACGGGCAATCTGTGTTCCCTATTGCTCCTGTCGAAATTTTGTGGATCATCATGATCACCTCCGGTCTCCCTGATATGGGACTGGGCATGGAAATCGCCGCTCCAGATATCATGGACCGTCCTCCTCAAAGCGTAAGTACATCCGCGACTCTTGGGTTTGATCAAATATACTGACGGCAACAGAAACAAGGTATTTTCACGTGGGAAGTCATAGTCGACACCATCGTCTACGGCGTCTGGATGGCGGCTCTCAGTCTCGCCTCTTTCTCGCTTGTCCTCTTCGCCTGGGGAGATGGTAACCTGGCCTCAGGCTGCAATAGCGACTACAGCCCACAATGCGACGGAGTGTTCCGCGCCCGAGCCACCACCTTCGTGTGCATGACCTGGTTCGCTCTCTTCCTCGCCTGGGAGATGATCGATATGCGCCGCAGCTTCTTCCGCATGCAGCCCGGTTCCAAGCGCTATTTCACCCAGTGGATGTTTGACGTCTGGCGCAACAAGTTTCTGTTCAGCGGCATCATGATTGGATTCATCACGACCTTCCCTATCCTGTACATCCCTGTGATCAATGACGTTGTTTTCAAGCATGTCGGTATCTCCTGGGAGTGGGGTGTGGTGTTTGTCGAAGCGATTCTTTTCTTCCTTGGCTGTGAGGCTTGGAAGTGGTGCAAGCGCATTTATTTCAGAAGGACCAGTCCAAAGCTCAATGGCAGAGAGACGATGCTCCGGGACTTTAGTCGATATACCACCATGAGCAGGTCCGAGACCCAAGCGACAGGTGACCTGAATGTGGAGAAGTCGATGGTTTAAATCTTGCAACTGAGGCCTGGGTGCGATAATGGATGGCCGAAAGGCAACTGTATGGGCTTGCGTGGGTTTAATTGGCGGCAATAATTTCAATTGAGCAACATGTGTATAGTCATGAATAGAAGTAGTGATTTAATTCGTTTTCTTCTTTTTCGCCCTTACGTGGATTCATGAGTGATTGATTATATGACCATGGAACTCTAGGCTGCAGGCCCGCCTATGTTGGCGCATGGCAAGTGTTGATGTGGCACTTCTCTTTTGTCAAAACCTCGAGAATAGGGATTTGGGGGTTTCAGTCATTGCCTGATCCGCAGGTTATAAATACCCCTCGGCTGTGTCAAATTTGAACAGCAACGCAGGCCGCTTAACCAATTTCCTCTATATACACTTTTGTCCCCTACTCTGCTCGATTTTCAGGATGGATCGCCAGGTTTCTTTCAATAGCCCTTTGTCTTACTCTCCTTTGCCCTGCAACGTCCCAGGCCCACGTCCTTCGACCCTCGTCAACACCCATTGCTCCCAAAACCTCCCATTTTCATGTACTTCCATGCCTACACTTCCCCTGTCCGCAAGCCTGTGACCGCACTCTACGACATGGCAGCACTTTTAATAGAACATAGTAGGCATAGACAGGTATGCGGGGACAAGAATTAGGGTTGTCTTGAGAATGACGAAGAAAGACTGATTCTCAATCCGGAGTCAAGATGAAAGTAGACCGAGAACCTGAACTCAAGAAGAAAGAGGACATGCATTTTCAATTGAGAATGTATAGCTTAACACCAAAAGGAAAGAATAAAGATTGCTTTTCAGCGGGTTCATTTTCGAAACGATGTTTCAAAAAGAATCCCTAAAAAGTAGGGTGCAAACTCCAAGGCAAACAGGACATGCTGTTTTGTCACTATTCACAGAAACTATTCTGATAGAAGAGGGTATTTAAAAATAGCAGTATTCAGGAACTGTGAATTAAACTGGTCCATGAGGCATATAGCATCCTTGTGTTCTTTCTACTTGTTTTCCTTCTTCTCCTTCTCACTCATCCATTGCTATCTTCCCTTCTCTACTACCCTCTCCTGACTCTGCTGCCCGTCGTCTCTCGAGGTTCACTGATTCCTTTCCTCCTTGTCTCCTCACCTATTCATTGCTGTCTCCCCTCCTCTACTATACTCTGTTGACTCTCCCTACGGTCTCTCGAGATTCCCTAATTTGTTTCTCTCGTTACCTCATTGATCAATATTGAGATGATCAATTTGCGCTGGTTTCCTAAACTCGTTTCTCCTGTTACTTGATTGATTGATATTGAACTAATCAATTTGCGCCGATTTCATCTCATTCATAGGTGAGTTTCATGATATATAAAAACTCTGACGTCACTCTTTGCTTACACGTTGCCAGGTCTGCAGAATGGCCTCTCTCTACGGAGGAGAGAGTGATTACCTCTCTTCCTCAATCACAGCGAACACGAGTCAGGATGCAACCATGGTGTCTTCGTCGGAATTGGCCCTCACGAGTGTTTATCCTCCCGCAGACTTAACGAGTTTTCAAGCATTAAAAGATGCAGTCACAGCAAAAGCTACAAGTTTAAGACGTGGACGGCATCACCAGCACCAATACATCTCTCTAAAAAATGTGGCGAGGAGAGATTTCGAACACATCGAAGCAAACCGCCAGGAGCTCGGCAGTGTTGTCCGGCTGACCTACTTTCCGGAAATTGAAACTCTTATCGTTAATAGTCCCCCCTCGTGAGCATGAATATTCCATTTGTTGAATTCGTAGCTCTCGGGGCTACAAAGTACACCGGACCTACAAGTTCCAGCAAGGAATGCGATTCCTCATGGACCAATACTGTCTCCGAAGTAACGCATGACTACCTTCTGCGGAGGCTGGAATTTACCCTGAGGTCTTATGAACAGACATATGGGATTCTTTCTCAGGAGGGAACTCTTCTTACGTTCATCCAGTCTTCTGAGGCTTTCCGGCCTCAAGGACACTTGGTTACTCGACTATTAGAAGAACTCAGTAAGGCCAGGGAAACCAGCTGTTCTGTCATTATGGCTGTGAATGGATGGGATGGTATATTTACAAATCCTTCTGTATTTGCCGACTTCTTCACACCATACTTTGTGATATTGAATCACACTGAGGTTCTACATCGAGGTACCACGAGTCTTTAGAGAAGCGGATGCTCAAGCAGCTGTACAGCTGCTAAGACATGAGATAGATCCTGATGAAACGCCTTACGACATAGCAGAGTTTGTTAAAAACATCCAGGTTATCAGCTTGATAAAGCAGGACCTAGCAGGGCAACAAACAAACTGTTGGAGGTGACTAATCCCGCAACACCCCCCCTGATTTCCACTCGAAAGAAAATGAGCCAGCTAAGTACTTGTGTGATGAGTGTGATGAGGGATTTGATAAGTCTATTCATCTAGTCACACATAAAAAGCACAATCATAGCAACGAGTCTGAAGAGGATAAGACTTGTCACTACTGTGGCAAGATCTTTGCACGGAAAGACGTTCGCATCAGGCATGAAGAGAGACAATGCAGGCTTCGGTCTGGATACGTCTCCCCCGAACGGGACCCTCCTGCACCTCGCGGCTGAAAGCGCTCTTTTCCAAGTTAAATAGATCAACAAATGGGTATACCTCCTATGCAGAGATTCAGAAGTACTCAGATGAGTGCCCTCCTATCGATGCGGAGAATCCAGTGGTCTATAGGAGTGAGGTGTTCTGTCGCTGGTCTGGGTGCCAGCATAAGGTCAGTATGGAGTTTCTACTTGCTGGTGATCAATGCTAACCCCAATTGTCTTTAGACTCCTTTCGAAGAACCAAGCAAGCTGGTCTGACATCTTAAACAAATGCATAACCTGACCTTGCCTAACAAGAACCTAGTAATCTGAATACACGTGTAGATTATATAGCCCTTATTACAGTCGGCGCAATGGACAAATTTTTGATAATGGAGTGAACCATCATCCTTGAGTGTGTGTATGTCATGAACGGTGTCCTTATATTTTAAGAGATGATGCCTGGTTGCTATGTCCAGCTGCAGATCTTATCAATCGAGTATTGAGGCGAGCAATGTAAACTTCGCTTCTGAACATTGAAGGGTCAACTACCTCATCCCATTACTTTCTTCTGGACACATTGATATTCATGAAATAACCAAAGAGTAACACGCCCAAGGTAAAGTATATATATTCAGGCTTGGATATATTAGGCAGCAATCAATATGCCATGAGCCACGTATTGATATACCATCATATTATTGACGAAAGATGGCATCATTCCAGGCAGACTCAGACTGAACTATTATAAACGATCTTGATTCTGAGTCCCTTAATCATCGACAGGTTATCATTACCCTGGGCGGAAGGGCCAAAAACTCGACATAGAGCGCAAATATACCTTGTTAATCCTAACAAGGCAAGATGGCCGAGTGGTTAAGGCGTTACGTTTAGGCCGTAATGGGAAACCGCGTGGGTTCGAATCCCACTCTTGTCATTATCCTTTTTCTTTCCTTTTTTTTTTCCCCGCTCACTATCTAGGATCTAGACGGACTACCTAGGTAGAAAGATACAGTGGGGCAAAAACCAAACCGATGACATACATTGATTGGCAGTAAGGCTATCCTGAGTATATCATATCATAGTAAAACCCAGTTGCACCAACCTCTACGTCAAACTCCAATATACCTCACATCCCCAGATAGGCGTGGGATTCGAACCCACGCGGTTTCCCATTACGGCCTTGATACCCTGGACAATGCACTGCCTCATAGGGAAGGTACTGTAGCTATTTCGAGCATCCAGGCCCGATCCCAAGCCCAAAGCCCAAAGCCCAAGCGGCACAGCCAAATGATCAATCCGCAACCGGGCTAGACTGGGGTACGGGCCATCAGATCCCTGCTAAGCGCCGGGTTATGGGGCATATCAGTAACCACACTACCTTCGCACAGTCACGCGAGTCATAACTTGCAGATAGCGCACTTCTCGCCCTTGCAGGCGTGTCGCACTTGCTCCATTGTGGAATGGGCGTCTGCCAGATGTAACCCTACAAGCCACTATCTTCCTTGAAATGTTGGTGCGAGGCTACCTGCGCAACCGCTCAAGAATGTCGATGCCTGAATTATCAGTGAACTGTCATGGTCTGAGATGAGCGATGTGGCTGCACCAGACCAGGGCAATTGGCTGTTGATATCAGCAAGCAGGGTCTGAAACTTGGATGCCTTGGTGCCTTTCCCCATGAGGTTAACGATCCTTGGCTTTGGTCATTTTCAGACGCATAGCGTGATGTGGCACAGTCAGTGCATTTGTAGCAGTGGCTGTGTCGTCATGATCGTGAAGCTGGATAGTGTCTGTTGGTTGCTGAAGGTATACGGGAGAGAATGGCATATAAGGCCCGAGATATCTGTGTCGTTCTTGTTTCCAAATCAACAGCGGACACTCTAAATCAACTGACATCTCACCTCAAATCGTCGTAATCATCTATTCTAGCAGCACAATGTCCTGCCCCGATCTATCTACCATCCTCGAAGTCTACCCCCAATGTGAAAGCCACTGCTACGGGTACGCCCCATCCCAACGGCGCCGCTGCAAGATGCCAATAGCGAAAGACAATCGAGACAGGGCCTCATACCTTCTCAGAGAGGGCACCAGACTCCTCCAGTGCGGCCTATCCGTCGACAGTCTGCTCTTCGAGCTAGCCCCCCTAGTCCTCTGCAAACGCTTCCACAGATACCAGGCAGACAGCCTGATCATCAACTGGCGGGCTAAGCTGCGGGCGTTCGAGGAGCAGAACCTTCTAGCTGCTGTGTTGAAATCGCTCCAGGAGTATGCGGAGAGTCGGGCACGTTCGCTTGCTGCTGGGTCGGCGGGCGAGCAGCGTGCCTCGGCGCGGTCGGCTGTTGTTGAAATAGAAGAAGAGGAGGAAGACGGGTCAGACAGGGAGGACGAGCCTGAACCCGAATCTGAACCTGGACCTTCTCCCCACCGGACATCTGCAGAGTCTTCGTCGCCAGCCGTTGAGACTCATGTGGCGGAGCCAACTGTGCCTCAGACTGAGCCCAGAAGGATCACTCGGAAGCCAATTGAAGGAGACTGTGGCATCTGCATGTGTCCTCTACAAGAACAAGACGCTGATGAAGACGGCGAGGAATCAGAAGACAGCGATGATGAGAACTATTATGATGTGTCGGAGACAGCGTTCGACAACGAGCACGACGGCGAAGATGACGAAGATGACGAAGATGACGATGACGATGACGAAGATGATGACCTTGACGCCCCTGATGACCTTGTATATTGCAAAAATCAGTGCGGTACGAATTACCACAAAGCCTGCATCGACGAGTGGCTTGCTACTCAGAGTACATTTCAACCCCGACGTGGGAATCCTATCTGTCCGTCCTGCCCGAACTGTCGAGCAGCGTGGTCATCCTGATTTCATCATTCTGCGAGGAGTCTTGGTGTCTGTCTATTTACTTATAGGGGCCTTATCAGCTACTTAATTTTACTAGAATCACTTAATAAACAGCATGCCTAAGCCCAAACTCTATCCAGGATATATAAGGCTCATGCCTTATAGCCACATTAGATTTATAGTAATTAGACCTTGCAGTGTAAGATGCAATAGAGAAAAGGCAAGTTAGTCTTACCCATAGGTGGCAGCATGCTACGTAATCATGATTGATTTGTTGGACAATCAAAACATCCCTGAAAGAGTCCACTGTATTGTTGGACCTATAAAACACGGCTGCAGCATCCTTAAGCTTGGTTATAACCACCTGAGGAGTCTGCTTGTGCAAGCAGATCCAGTTTGTCCTTGCAGGTACATCCGCTGACTGACGGCATCCCAGTCTGGCTTGTAGTGTGGGGACTTGTTATTGTCATACTTGACGTGGAAGAGCATGAGACTGTGTCCCGTTTTCTTGGATGAATCCGAGTCCATGAAGGTTCGCGCTTATTACCGATGCTTTGTCCCATGAGGCATACGCAAACGGGATGATGTGCGCGGCCTCGACAGGTCCTTTGATTTTCTCTGGACAGCCACGCTTAATCCGGTGCTCGACGTCCATTTGCCCAGTCACTACGCAGCAGTAGTTATCGCGTTTCAGACATAACTCTCGAAAGTCCTCAGTAGGGGTGCTCGGCTGGTCAAGTTTAGAGGCCACAGCCGATCGTGGGGAGCCCCGAACTGGTGTCCGGGCTGGACATGGCTCTACTATAAGTTCTTCTCGCAACTGGTTCGTCCAGAATCAAGGGCTTGAGGTTGCTCCTGGACCAGAGCAAGCGGTTCATCGAATCAGCCTAGAGCGGCTAGCCCTTCCGGTTCCTGCAGCCTAGGCTCGTCGTCCTATCCTCTGGAACGATGATTTCAAACGCGGCTTTGCAGAAGTCCTGCGGGGTCGTATGGACTCCTTCACGGGAGACCTTCTTGACATTCAGAATTCTCTCGTACGCATACCGCTTACCTGCAGATGGCCGTGTCCCAAGATGCCTGGATGAAATCATGAGTACGCAACGGCCCTGCTTCAGAAACCTATCAATAAGCAGCTTGCTCCATCTGCCAATCTAGTCCTGTCTATCTTCCTGAACAGCTTGTGGCTGAGCTGAACGGATGCACAGGCGGCCAGTCTCCAATCGGCGATCCATTCCCACGCCTGTTCTTATCTTCGCCTAAGAGAATTTTGATCTCTTCATGTACCTTGTCCTCCGGATAACAGCATCGACCTAGAGTATCATCTGACAATGGACTGATTCCCTGAAGGATGGGTGAATTCTCGATGAATGTGACCACTTGCTGCGATAGGTCTCGAAGATCTAAAGGCACAGGCTCCCTGTCTGAGAGGAGCTTCTGAACCGTCTCAAGTACCGCAAACTTAGAGCTCGAAGCCCCTTTTGACAGCTCCATTATGACTGGCACTGGGAGGGGAGTTGGTTACAGCAAAACAGCAGTGCTCAGCTCCACATCTCCCACTGGAAGCAAAGTTGCGCCAGAACCATGTTGGTAGACGGTAACCACGATGCTATCAGGATTGTGTGAGAATTTTTCCAATTCCTGCGGGAAGGCAAGAAGTTTTCGGATCAGAAAAGGGCMTGTAGAAGCCATAGGACTAGATCACTTTCCATTAACTGCTGGAAGAGACAGACTAATAACTATTCAGCTGGTTTTCATAGTGATGCTCGAAGCGTTTAGCTCAGTCACTGCGCAGTCGGTCATTGTCTTGTTGTCAACCAGATATTCATATTCCCGCCGACCATATATGTGAACCCCTGAAGGCTTCTCTCCGCCAACATACGTTGAGGATCGATGTCTGAGGCTTCGAGATCCTCAATGGAATTGAAGATTAAAGTGGCCGAGAGCAGGAGGTGAAAATTGGCTCCTAACCAAGTGACTGCTCTTGATTGGTTTGATGCCGCGTTGCGCAGTGTATGCGCTTCATCAAGAATAACTGTGGCAAAACAACCCCTGAGGTCATGGGGGAACTCAGCGGGAACTGACAGTCTTGGTTCTTGAACCTCCATCTTATTGTTCATCAACCAAGTCTTCACTGCGGCCGGCCCATGTCGAGAGTTCAGTGTCTGGTAACTTGTTATAACAACTGTCCGCCCGTTGGCTGATTTGCCGTCAAATATCTTGTGACTGGTTGACAGTCTCCCACCAATAAGTTTCTCATGATTGCTGATTTGCGGGCGGCCTCGTCATCCTGAATCCGGGTTCAGGATGAGTCTCGGCAGCCGTCTCTCCTTGCTTGGGAGGTGTTCCCGCTAGGGGAGATAAGGGACCACGGGGTATTCTCAGAGTCTGCCACATCGCCAATTTGTTGGCCGTGTCTGCCAGGCTCTGCTTACCATGCTGATTACCTGGAAGTCTGCAACGAAATCTGCTGTATCAAAAGGTGTTCCATCAGAAGCTCTCTCACTCTGCCTGGTATTCGCTTCTTTGAAATCTCGCGGCCACCGAGGCAGGACCTCAGTGTGATTTCAATATCAGAATATGGCGTGTAGACTTGGCAAATATGAAAGACTTCGTAACATCCATCCCATCCATTCACAATCATGATGACAGAATGGCCAGTTCGAGTAATATGCTGGAGAATAATCATCGCCTCGCGTTGCTCCTTCGCGATGATTGATCTGTAGGCAGTCCCGCATTGCTTGTGATGCAACATGACCAGCCAGGATCCCATCCCTCTATCAACCGCAAGACCCCTTCGGTCCAGCTGCACTGAAACACTCTTGGCCAATTGGGTCTGTGGGCTGTCCTGCACGATGAGATTCGCACAGCACTGTCCATAGCAGCGGTTAATAGTCGGGAGTATGTCAGACTTCTGAAGTTCCGTTTACCCTGTAGACTCGATACAGGAACATCATAGCGCCTTGACTATGCTTTTGGTCTCACTTTCAATCATAGGACGCTCTCCGGCAAAGTCTGAGGACGGTTGAACGGTAGAAAGATAATTCCGTCTGGGGTGTGAGAGGCTGGGTGGAACATGAGAGGATTGAAAAACGTACGCCATCGTACAATTCTTGGATGTACAATGGGAACTTCTTCTTCAGAATAATAGTTAACAGGAAGCCCAGGATCAACACCTCGGGAGCTGGGACAATTTCATCTTCCAAAAGACATGCTGGATTGTCGATGACTTGGACCGATTCTTTGTGGCCGAACAGCCAGAGATGCTTCTGATTGAGCGAACAAAAGGGCATTCCGTACATTTGAATCCATGGCGAACCAGTGGATTCTACATGGAGCATTGTATCAAACTGAAGTAGGAGCAATAAAGATCACAATTGGTTCCATTTCTTCTTTCATAAAGATAAAATGTCTTMAAGAAGCATATCAAATCAAGTTTATCAGTAGTAGCTGGTAAAGTAATCGACGTGCCGATATATCGAGTCCAGTCAGCCACAAAGAGAGTTAAGATGAAGAAGCAAGCAGGGAGAGCTGAAAGGCATGTTCTCAAGCAGACTCTGTTGTTGTCATAGTATGAGTGAATATATCTAAGTATCTATTCACTGTTTCATCCATATGAGGCTGCGAATGCGATATATCTGGGATAATGTCTTACTTTTAGGTCGTAGTGAATACATCTAAGCATGTATTCACCATGGCCATCTTATGAATCTGTGGATGTAGTATGTTACTTTTAAAGTCTCATCTTCATATTCTCTACTCCACCTGTGTCCCACTGACTGCCCAACACTATTGTTATCATCATCATCATCATCAAAATCGAGTCTCTGAGAATATATCCTGGGATATGCTGATACAAGGAATCTGGTGCTTCAGCTATACTCTGAAGCCATATCAGAAAGAGGTATCAATCGTACTCCCAAAGGGCATTACATGCATCTTCGAAGTTGGCCTTCCACCTGTCCTTGGTGGTCTTCTCCATATTTTGAGCCTGGTACGTTCAATGACAAGACCGTCTTGAGTAAGACTAGAAAAGCTAATACATGCAGATTACGACATCTGGGGATATATCTCGAATATCTCCTGCCCATCACCATTACCATCATAATCACCATCACAAATACCACTGCTTTTACTTCTTTACAGATGAACAATATGGCTGTAAGAAATAGTGCGGAATCTTCAAGCTTAATGCTAACGAAGGCAATGTAGCACAACCGTGGCACATACCATATCACGACTTGCTCTGGTGGAAAGGAGTTTGCTATCCCAAAAAAGCAGCAGAAACAGCCAGACAGCCAGACAGCCAGACTGACAGAGAACCCTGAGTCTCTTTTCTTCCTTTCCTTGGGCCTTCAGAGAGACAGAGAGGCCGGTCAGACAATACATCCAACCGAAAATCAACAAGAGAAAGGCTGTCAAGGCAGCAAGCAGCAAAGCCGGGTGTGCCATGGCGACCTGCCTGATTTTCACAAACAATCGATCACAGAGCAGCCTCAAGTACTGGATGATGACGATCTACTAGCGGTCCTCGAGGGCCCGTTGGTGACGAAAGTAACGAGGTCTGGCTGCAACATCGGATACCGGTTCTCGACCATCTGAGATCGGTAGATATCAATACCTATCTAGCTGAAGTTACCTAGGAGAGAATGGACAAAGAGTAGCGAGCCGGCGGGATCTCTCGATGAGTCCTACAGACCCATCTTTATTCCAAGGTGGTGACCGCTAGACAAGAAAGGTGTCATGTATGTATGGCAGCCATCCATTGCAATGACAGTTAAACTTAGGTGGCACAGCAGAGTCAGGAGGAAATCTGGGGACGTGATGGGTTATTTGGAACAGGACGAGGAAGAGCTGATTTGTGCTTTGGAATGTGTGCAAGTAGCAGATGGCAGATGGCTTTTATTTCTTTTTGATATGTCTGGACTGGAAAGGTGCCTAAGTATGAACAAATGATTTACCGATTGTGTTTTGGACTTGTCAACCACAGACCAGAATCATCATGGTATGGCGAATGAACTATT